TAAACTAACTCCCAAAGTGCTACTTTCAATAGAATGTTTCTTTATCACATTCAGAAATTATAACCATAATATTTACAAAAACTCATGAGCATATTAGAAATCATGTAGAGATACATGAGAGCCTGTTTGACTGTTCTCAATAGAGTAGAAGTGGTGAAAAAGGCAGACAGTGCTTTAGCACTTATTAAGCACTTATTTATGTATGTCTGCTCACTTTCCTCTCCTCAAAGCTACCATTCAAACATTTAAAGTGTTACACATATATACATATTCTTGATCCTCTCATTTAGCTTTACTAGCTCATATAGCAATTAGCAAGATGTGCCCACATCTGAAATGGCTCTTTTGCACTCTGGTCTGGCTAGCACATACGAAGACAGTGCTGTTACACAGGTACATCTGTATTTTACATCTTCTGATGGTTACATATAGGTAAACATATAGTTAGATGTATGCCAGAAGTACTTAGATGCTAAGTTTCGGTTTAATAAATGAAGTGAGGAAGGCTACAAAATTTGAGCAAGTTTTACTTCAAATTTTGAAATGAACCCTAACCCCAATTTGATGGACTAGTGTAGTGTCAATACACTTTATGTTCTCATACATAGGGCCAAGTTTTGTGACAGTGCTAAAAAGCTTTCAAGGTGCTAGTTTGTACAGAATGATTTTTCATTACATTCAGAAATTGTAACCTTCATATTTTAGCTAAGCTTCTTAAAACACTCTTTGAGAACTTCACCTACCTGTGTTTAAATGGTGATCCACTCAAAAATACCTTTCTCATGCAGCTCTGAACAAAGTAGAAAAAAGATATTGCAAAGCTACAGATTTTCAATAGCACATAAAGGCTGCAAATATTTATTCAGATTTAAGGCACAACAAAATGTAAATTTTAAATGCATCTAATCATCAGCAACAATCAACTCAGTAATGTAATCCACAAACAGCTCCTTTTTAAACTGTGGCCAGCTGTTGTCTGCTTGTGGTTGTTTATATTGACATTGCCTTTACACTTTGACTTGTAGCACACTTTACTGTAATTTTAACTTGTATCTTATTGCATGCCTCTATTTTTTATAAAGATGAGCATCATAGAAGTGTTTTTAGGGGTTATCTATACCTATAGTAGTTTAGATGAATACATGGTGATAAGGATTCTGTTTATATATGAATTTGGCGATTTTTTAATAAAAAGTAAAAGTAAAGAAATAGCTAAACAAAATGTATACAAGCAAAATTTGCATTTTTTACATTTATTCTTGTCTGTCTCAATGAAGAGCTAAACATTCTTAGCTTGCTTGCTTTATTTGTTGCTTGCAGGTTCACAAGGCAATTTGTGACACTGGCCAGCAATAGATAAATTAGGAGGACCTGCTGGCTTGTCAGTTGAGATGGCAGAAGTAGGCAGAAAATCACACAAAAAGCCTGCAGCTGGCATTGAACTAGTAGATGAGTTTTTAAAGTTGTCTGCAATATTAATGTCAATGTATTCACAATTATTAGCAGCTAGAACAAATTTATAAAGATCTAAACATTAAAGTATAGCAATTTGCAGTACTGATCACCATGCACTTATTTATTAAGCTCTCCCCATTTAAATCATGCTAATGATTGGCACGGCATTTTTAGAGCAATGTGAATGCTATGAGCATCTTTTTTTCAGCAACATCCTAAATTTCTAAACCTTAATTATCAAACTCAACATATTTAGAGACCACTTTTTACTTTGTAGGTGCTTTCTAAGAGGTCTCGGCAGCTCTCTTCTTTTTGTCATTGTGAGAAAGCACAGCAGCAAGCAAGATAATATAGCACTTGTCTTTTTAAAATAACTGAATTTGACTGCAAACTATCTACAAGTCACACTGAACTGAAGCTAAGCCATGTAATAGCTAAGAGCCAATCAGCAACTTGGTCTGGCTGCTATATGACTTGATTGCAATGACTAACAGCTAAGCAATCGAGCCATAGCAATACTAAGCTGTATATATTCTATAAATTCACACAAATATTTACAAAGACTTATAACTATATCAAAAATCATGTAGGAATATGTGAGAGCCTGGCTTATTATTCTAATCAGAGTAAAAGTGGTGAGAAAGATAGATAAGGCATGAGTGCTTATTGAGTACTTATTTGCATATATTTGTCTACTTTCATTTTTTCAAATCTTCTCTTTACACATTCAACATGCTACATATATGTGTATATTTTTGATCCTTTCACTCAGCTCTATCTGCTCACATAACAACTATTAAGATGTGTCCACATTTGAGATAGCCCTTCTGCACTCTAGTTTGACTAGTACACACAAAAAATGGTGCTGTCACACAAACACATCTATATTTTGCATCTTCTCATAGTTACATATAGGTAGATATATACTAAAGTATCTAAATTCCAAGTTTCAGCTTAATACATAAAGTGTGAAAGGCTACAAAAATTAAGCAAGGTTCATTTCAAAATTTGAAATAAACTCTAATCAAAGTTTAATAGACTAGTGTAATGTCAATACACTTTACATTTTCACACTTCGAGCAAAGTTTTGTGATAGTGTTAAAAAGCTTCCAAAATGCCAGTTTATACACAATAATTCTTTATTACATTTAGAAATTATAAAATTATTATTTGTGATAGAAGATTCTGAAAAATTTCACTAAGTTCCAGAGAATTCCAGAGAATATTAAAAGGTTCAGCCTGATTCTTCAAGATCATACTTTATTTTGGCAGATTTTGTAGCTTATATAAAATGCTCTAGTGGGTTCTCCTATATATTTAAAAGTTCTAGTATATACAAATGGCTTTATGGAGAGTATAGCTTCTATGTTAAAAGCTTTGATCATTATCACTATTATATATGAGTATATCTGTTTATTTGTCTACAGTGATGACCTAAAGTATTGCAACAGACTACAGAGAGGTGTTAAGATTTTTTCAATATCTCCGCAAATATTACAGATGGCTGGACACATTGTATATGGTTTCTAAACTGGATAACTAGCTGTATTTTCTCAAAGTATCACTTTGTAGCAGAAGGTGTATGCCAGAAGAGTATATCAAAAATAGCTGAAAATATGCATATTTATTATATAATTTGTTGTATGATACAGACTGTAGAATAAAATTGACTCTGCACATATTTTATTCTACAGTCTGTATTATAATACAGATTATATGATAAGTGTGCATATTTTCAAGCTATTTTTAATATGCTCTTTTGATATACATCTTCTGCTACAAAGTGATACCTTGAAAAAATACAGCTAGTTGTCCAGTTTAGAAACCATATAAAATGTGTCCAGCCATCTGTAATATTCACAAAGATATTGAAGAATCTTAGCACCCCTCTGTAGTCTATTGCAATACTTTAGATCGTCACTGTATATTAGTACTATTAAACTTTGCCTAGGTATATTATCATATATAAAAAAAGTGCCAAAGTGCATATGCACACTATTAGACTTACTTAATATTGTCTATTTTTCCAAAGTTTTTCAAGGCCTAGTGTCAAACAATTTTGACATTTGTCATTGCATGGCTGTCAATTATTGCTTCATAATAACAAGTTTCATTGATTGTTTTCAAGCATCTCACTGGCACATTCTTTATCTCCATTCTCATGTAAAGAACACTTACATACAGTGGCCACCAAAAATAATACACAACACTATAAAAAAATGTTGTAATCTCTCTGTATCTTTACAATTACTCTATTTAGCCAGATAGTATATATATGAGTCTTATACTAAGCTACTATTAGCATTCTTCTAAAATATTACTTTAATGCAAGCACTAGATGCTAAAAAGAATATAGTGAAAATAGCTAAAAACTTTATATATTCTAGCTGCTAGTGATGTTTATAGAATATAAGCATATATCTTTTTATTTTGTAATAAATAAAGTTGTCACTATAGCACATTCATTCAATTTTGTTATTATGCTCTAATTTTATTACAGTAACATCATACAATATAAAATTTTATTAAAACTTAACCATATTTTACTCTGGAATCTGTCATTTTATAAATTTTACAATATAAATTCATTTTAGCCATTTTCACTACATTTTTTTCTGGCATCTGATGCTTGCATCAAAATGATATCTTAAAAAGATGCTAATAGTAGTTTAGTATAAGATATATATATACTATCTGGCTAGGTATAATAGTTATGAAAATACAAAGAGATTACAATCCCTTTTATAGTGCTGTGCATTATTTTTAGCAGCCACTGTAGTTACTAATGTATTAGATGTGCTACAGAACTCAATATTTTGTCCACTGACTGTTATACAAATTTACAATTATCACATAAAATTTGATTATTTATAGAAGCAGTGAATAATTGTAAATTTTTAAAAAAAAAATCAACTAATATTTACAATAAGAATGTTCAAAGTTCATGTGCAAAATTAATTCATGGCTGCTTCGAGAGTTGTTGCAAACAAAGTGAAACGTGACTGAAGCACACGTAGATCCCAAACACCTCTGATTACGAGAGAGTTAAATTGAGTTGCTAGTAGCATGAGAAACACATCCGCTTCATTCCTAATAATTTATATACACTCTATTATACCTGTAGCAGGGCTCTTGCATGTTCTCAGAAAGTAAAGATGCCTCCAAAAAATACCCATTAGTATGCACCATGGAGCAGCTGAGAAATGCTTGTATGTAAACACACTCCTTATTGTAACACGCAGAAAACAAGTAGCAAAATTTTAATATAAATTGATCCCACTGTCACTACTCCATGTGCATGAGGCTATTACAAAATTGATGCAATAGCACAGGAGGAGGAGGAGGGAGTCAAGGACAGGACAACTTGGGTTGGTCTGGAAAGCAAGCGTGAATCAAGCGAAAAGTAGTGTGCGAAGTGGCTCAGGAGCCACTTTGATGGATGACCTCAATTTAACACAATTCAGCACAATTCAGCCTGAATTGTCACTTCAAGTTTCTGTTTCATTGTCTGAATTGCCATCAAAGCGAGTCCAAAACACGTTCAAAACAAACTTTGAACACCTCTAATGTATTACACTAAAAAACTTCTTTAATTTTTATACTTGCAATCAAAACCAGCATAAGAGAAAAAAGTAATTAAACAACAACAAAGTATATCTACACTCTGTTAATCTGAACACAAATCAATAACCTCTATCTCTTGTGGCAAAAGTGGACATGTGGGCTGTAAAGGTCTATGGTTTTGGATTGCAGTAGGTTCTCTTGCATTTCTGGCTTTGAAAGCATTCTGCAGGTTTCTTGGCTTATCCTTTGGTGGCACAGGGACATCTGAGTCACTGGATATCTCAATAACATGTGTAGTCTTTGTTACTGCCCGTCTCTGCGGGCATGCCGTTGGCTTCTCCATGCTAGGCACAGCTTCGCCGTGTGACGGACTCACGCCCTTGGATGAGTGTGGACTCGCTTGTTTCTTTGACTTGCGGGGTGATTTCTGCAGCTCGTCGCTCCGCTTCGCGGTATCGAAAGGTCGTGATGTGGACGCTCTACGCGTGCGCCGCTGATAAGTGAGAGAAGTGTGCGTTGTGTCCTCATCGGAGGAGGCAATGGAGAGTTCAGTTATCGGAAAGGGCGTGGGCTTCCATGTGCTTATGCGCGTCATAGCGTGGCGGCGTGAGGAAGGTTTCGAGGGGCCTGCTTCAAGCTGTGACTCGGTCGTCGGACCAAGGTTTGTCATTGAAGGTATCGATGAGGCCATCCAGGGGTCCTGTAAGAATCTGCTCCGTAGTGTTGGTTCCAAGCCATCTGGGACGGCCTGCGAAGGAGCTGATGAGAATGTCCGTTGCCGCGCTTTCTCGGGTAACGGATTGCTAGCAGTGGTCGCGGCTCTGTGCCCCTTCGGCATGGTGAGGTCCTTGAAGACGCTGTACTCCGTGTTCTCGAACAAGGTCGCTTTCAACTGTGCGGGCGTTGTGCTCTCGGAGCTGCTCTCGGTGACGCTGGACTTTGGCTTCGTTAAGTCCTTGATAACCCTCAGTTCGTCGCCGGCATCAAACAGCAATGCAACTCTGCTGGTGTTGCTCGTCGTAGACGCCCTAATCTTACCCTTTGTCACACCCGCCACCACATCCTTCCGAGGTCCACTCGGAAGCGTCTGGGCAGGCTCCTTGTCCACCCGTAAGCTCGGGGGGATCATAGTCTTGCTTGCCTTGAAGTAATCGCTCATACTGGCCACCACTCGCTTTTCCGCTGAAGGTTGCACAGCTGCGGCGGGGGGCACCGCTCTGCCACTCCGTGGTGTAACGTCCGGCGCACTTGTCACGCTATCCGTATGTTCGTCTCCATCGTAACTGGCCAGGGGCGTCACGACGCTTCCACAGCGCATGGTACTCGCAGCTTTGGCCCTCCCCCTTCCATTACCTCGCGTGGCTTTGCGAAGCTCTTTTGCGGCCTTCACTTCCTCGAACCCCCTCGCTAGCCCCGGCTCGCCTGCCACGACCATGCACGCGGGTAGCCAGTACCGTCTGGTCGCACTTTCGTCAAATTTTTGGCCCTTTCTGCCTTCGTCATCCGAACTCGGCATATCCTCATCGTCGCTCCAGTCGGTCGTCGGCGCACTGCGCCGGCCCTCGATGCCCGCCTCAGCCGCGCGAATGAGGGCATATGGATCGATCTCGAGGCGGTATTCAGGTAGGTGGTCGGTTGTTGCGTGGGCTCGCGTAGAGGTGATCTTGAGGATGAGGGGTCGTAAGGTAGTTTCAACCTGCTCGGTTGACGAGTCTGCGATATGCGTGAGAGCTGTGTAAAAGAAAAGAAGAAAGAAAAGGAAAAGACAGACTTTTGGTGCTAGACAAGTCAAGCTGATCGAGACGCAACGCTGTAGCTGTAGCTGGAGTGCTGCTCAGTGTGTCTGACAAACGCAGGATTTAAGCTGCAATCCTATGAAAGCGAAGTAGTACTCACCGAGATCTCGAAGTATGGTCTTTCGCCTCAGCGTTCGGCACACGATACCTTCCCAGAGCCAACTGGTGAACCTCTGGATAATGCGGTCGCGATATCCCCATTCGAAGTAATCCTCGCAAACCTTTGCGATCGCTCTGACGCTCGGATCTCTTGCCCAAATGATGCTCTCGCCTAGGCTGCGTGCAACATCTTCTTTGGCCCGCAGCACGATGTTCGCTAGCTCCGTGCCTGTAGTAGATGGATTTGCCCGCGTGGCCTTTGCGACAGCACGCTCTTCACTCGTAACAGGATTGATGTATGCCATAAGCACGTCGACATTTGGAAATGCGTTGCCGAGTGCGAGTAAGTTTGCAGCAGCCTTTGGACTACGCTTTCCCAACAATTTACGTGAGTTTGTGCGCAATTCCTCTGCGACCTCGACGCGCCAGCCTTCTAGAAACGTGTCGAGTTCACATTTTTCTGCGCCGGAGAGGGAAACTTTAGTCTTCCTGCCTTCGACATGCTGGACGCTTAGAGCGAGTGACTGGACTTTCGCAACTAACGACCGGCCGAATCCCGCCCGCGCCAAACCAATGGCGACAGATATACCGCAGGCGTCGAGGCCATGATGGTAGTCACCCCCGCTAAGGAGTGCGACGAGCACGAGGTCTTGGTGAGTAAGCCCGACCTGCCGTAGTGTCAGGAATGCGCACGACAGAGATGAAGATACCGACCTCTGGGTGCGTTTCGATGGTATGGGAAGAGAACGTCATGGTGTGATTCTTGGTAGCTCGAGCGTGGGAACGATTCCCGGAGAGGGTGTCTGAAGGACTAGTAAAGGGGAGGTTAGATTGAGTCGATAAATCAAGACGCGTCATAGACGTACTTGCGAACCACCATATGCGCTCCAAAAATGAAGGTATCCACATCGTCAGACAGGACCGCGTCGATGACGCCTATGCGATTAAGATACGCGAGTTCGGCTTCGGCTTCGCCAGGAGCCTTGAAGTTTAAGAGGTCAGGACACGCATTTGAATAGGAGATACCTGTAGCCACACCGTTCGCCACTCAAACCCAAATGCTTCGACCATCTTCTTCATGCCATCGACCATCCAGTGAGGCTTTTTGTCGATCAACTTTCCCCTCTTCACATCCGGGCGCATTGGGCCATCGAATACAAACAGCGGCAAGAAAGGGTGTTTGAGGAGGCGGATGAGTCGAAAGAATATTGTGCGGAGCTCTGGGTTCTCGCCTTCCTTGCCGTAAGTGGAGTGCACGAACCAGATGGAGGCATCGATGCCAACTCGAAAGGCACGAAAGTTGCGGGTAGAACCAGTGTCGGCAAAGCCATCAACGGCGATAGCGGTAAATGAGCGACTAGTCCCCGCTGGGCGCAGTACATCCCAGAGCCCCGACACGCCCATCGCTGCCGAATGCAAACCCGTCTCTTAAACGTGACAGGTATCTCCACGCCCGTCACCATCACATGCTCACCAGTCACAGTCACATCCCTATATTGAGCACGACTATGTATACAAGAGCATGTATTATCAAACGACTTAGATACACAACCTATCGATACACCAGACGTCCGAAGACTACTATAATACTCAAAAAGATGCCGTGAAATCCCTGAAGGCTTCCTCGCCCATGATGCCCTCAATGCGTTCAGGTACGGTTGGCACAGCGACCTGCGTGCGGAATCGCTTAATCGCCTGCAGCCGCGAACGCCAGTTAGTGACCATTTCAACTTGCGCCGTATCGTTCTGTGTATGTTGGTACACAGTCACGAACCAGTCCGTGAGGAGGCTCAGTTGGCGCACTAGCAACGGCAGCTTCTCCGCGCTGATCAACTTGAACTCGCCGAGCGGGGTGAACTCAGGCATTCCGGGAGCACGCTGCAGCAACACCTTGAAGTACTCGTTCTCGTGCAGGTTGTCTGAGAACGCGGCGATCGCCCCGCGCGAGTGTGGCTCGATGACAACGTTCACGAACTGGAACTGTGTCGAGAGCGTGTCGAATTTATATGGTAGCCCCGAATCGTTCCACACGATGCGAACGTAGTCATTGCCGATGTGCCGTTTCTTGTTCGTGCATCCTTCCTCGTTATTTGGCATGAGCGTCGCGGTGTGATAAAGCACCTGCCCAATGTCGTCCCACCAGGCGTAGGCATACTCGCCATCCTCGTCAGGATCCAGCCCTCCAGCGTAAACGTCGACCTGCCCACGCAGGTGAATCAGACGGCCCAGCCCCTCCAAGAACCGAGTGTACGCAGGTGAACCATGAGTATTCTCTAGGATCTCCTTTTCGTTGCTCTGACCGGGAGCGACATACATGATACCGACCTTGTGGGTATCGATAACCGGCATGCGATCGATGGAACGGAAGAAGTTAGGCAGTCTGGAAGAGTCAACTACCAAACGACCAAGGGTGGAGGGTTTGCTATCCGGATATGACGATAGCTGCAGGGCGAAGAAACTCGGGTCAATGGAGACCTCTTTTCGCCTTTGCGATGGCGCGGATTGAGACCAGACGTAGCCAGTAATGGGGTCTGGCTGACGCCAATTAGTCTCCTCGTCGGCAATATGCTGCAAATCCTGTTGCCGAGTCGGTGTGTGAGTATACTTCAGTAGACGACTCTTTGGCGCACCTGGAGCACCCCTTCATCTTCAGACTCTTCTTCTACAGGTCTATCCATGGTCAAACTTGCGCAAACCGAGAGCAAGTCGGGATCAACGTCGCCCAGGGTGATTATAGGCACGTTCTCCGCTCTGCATAGAAACTTTGACATGCCCGAAGCTCTTCTGGAGATAACCTCGACCCATCCCCGCTTAACTAGGGCACGAATAGTAACAACCGAGTTCCCGAGGATCCACGTCTTCTCTGCTGACAAGGGTTCAGATGTTGTCGCTGACGTGGCAGGATGCATGATAATGTCATTGAGCATGGAATTCGCTGGCCTTGGGTCGGCACTCGCATACGTATAGCGGGCAAGCCAGTCGAAACAGACTTCCGTCGGCTCGTCGAGTTCTGCTCTGCCCTCATTCGCCAGGAGAAGCTGCCGTGTGATGTATTTGATGTGCCTTGGCCTGTCCGGTAACTTGACCGCAAGGAACCACAAATATACGATATAGTACGACATGATGCACACATGCTGCGCGAGAGCCCAAGAGATGGACAGATGTGACTCCGGGCGGTTATGGTGCTGAAGATACTGCAGAGCGACTCCAAAGACCATCTTGTAATCACCTTCAGTGAAGTTGCTGTAGAGCGCTGGCAGCGATCCCACGATGACAAGAAAGTCGATGATGTGGACTGCCATGGTCGGGTTGGACATAATCTGCGACAGCTTCTCGAGGATCCGGGGTAGATACTTTGTCATGGACGGCTGGAGCTCAAAAGCGGATAGAGAAAGCGCATTGAGGCAGCACTTGATTGTAGACGGTGAGCCGTTCAAACCTGCCAGGAACGACTCGATGAGCATGTGCCGCTGTTGTATATCCTTGAAGCAGCGCTTGTAGCTAATCAAGACGGTAAGGGTGTGATACGCCAATCCTTGCGCATCCCGTGCGATGATGCCTTCCGGCCAGTGATCAATTGACGATGCAAAATGGTCGTCGAGGATGCCTTGGCATATAGTTTGGAGTAAATCATTGACGACTGTGGCAGATCTTGGGCCGCAGAAGAGATGTTTGTTTGCCAGCTGAGACGGAAGGTGGCACAGGACGTATGATAGTATATCCCAATCCCGCGTGGTCTTGACGAGATCTACGAGCTGGGATAGGAAATACGACAGTGGTAGTACTCGTCGCTCCAAGGGATGATTAGGATCATAGGAGGCGAAGCGCGAGCTTGGCGTATCTGCCTCCGCGGGGACAATAAACGAAATGGTTTCGGGATACGACCAGATAGGCTCTCTTGGCTTGAGCCGAGAAACAGTCGCAGTTGGAGGCACCAGCCTTGAGGCAACTCGCGACCGGCTCCTGCTAGATCCTGAAACAGACGGTTGTCCACCCCGACCACGAGAAAGTCTCCGCCCCATGCGCTCCTGCTGAGGTAGACGAGCACGGGCTTTCCGCAGCTCCAGCTCGTCTATGGGACGGTCGTCTACGGCGCTATCTCCCTTCTGCTTCTCTCCGCGGCCGATCAATAACGACAACGCAGCTATCAGGCCATCTTGGTCAAAGTCGTGAGTAGCATAATACAATCGATGATCGCGATCCGCGCGAAGGCGCATGCAGAGCTGCAAGACGACTAACTTCAGCCGGGGGGGAACCTGGGCTCCTAGAAGTGAGACGAGGGTCTTGTACAGTCGTTCGGCCAAGTCCAAGTGGCCGTCGAAAGCGGCGAAAGATGCAAATGCCGTTTGGCTGAATGCGGACACTAGAGCTACGACCGCACCAACTGCTCTGGGTACAGTCGAGTGCTCCGGGGCTGTGACTGTGCTCTCTGATGTAGGGGTCGGATCGGCAGCATGCGGTGGCTGTGATTGTGACCTGGATGAATGTCCAGATGCCAGAGAGGAGAGCAAAGACATGACCGAAGGGATGCCGGTGTCTTTCGATGCATACGCGGCTGGAAAGTCCGAATGCATCCTAGATAGGGTATGCGAGGTAGATACATGCGACGAGGAGAGGGCCGAAGGTGGCGACGGCACTGTAGAAGACGGTGGCTGGACCTCCCATGATTCTTCTTCGTAGGGTTCGAGGGCTACTTCTGACAAGAATTTGATGACGTCTTCGGCGACAGTGTCTTTGCTCTCGCCCGGAGACTGTTCCTCAGGTTGTTCTGCACCTCCTGACAGCTGCTGCGCATAACCAGCAGCTATCTCGGCATCCTCTAGATTTCGCAGGACAATCTCGTCTCCCAGAACGCGCCAAACAATGATAGCGCTCGCATCGTCCCTGAAATCTGTGTATTGCTCCTTCCAGACTTCAAATACGAGAGCAGCAAGTGGCCGGCGATACACGGAGATGTCCTTCACGAATGACCAGACTGACTGGAGGACTTGCATGATGACACGCCTGGTCGCGGTTCGGTAGCTTGCGTAAAGGTCTCCGATAGATAGCACAAGTCTCCAATTCTCCAGCCACGACGGTGTCGTTGGCGAGAAGGCTTGCCGCTCCGACATAGTGGCGACGAGGTGAGCAGTGTCGGCATCAGGGATGTGCTCTACGACGGAGATAATGACAGAGGGAAGCACAGTATGCAGCGGGGAGACCATCAAGTCCTGAGCTAGCAGCGTGGAGAGAAGAGACAAAAAGCCGGTGGAAACATCCGTTTGAGTTAAGGCTACCCTTATCGGTGAGCCATCTGTATGTCTGGAGACATTTTAGCGGGTACGCACGCCTATCGAAGTCGGACGGGCCGTACCTCTGAGTCTTGACATACGAAGTCAGAGCGTGTAAAACATCCCCGACCGCCTCGACCTCTTCATAGTCGAGCTCATCGCCAATTTCGTCGAAAGCTTGGGTGATATCTTTGAGTATTCCGGCAACTTCGCTGAGAATCTGTTCGCAGGGGTAGCGCAAGCTGTCGTCGACGGTCTGGGCGATGATCAACCATTCGCGAATGGAAACACATAGAACGCTGCGGAAGCGATTGAGGTCCCAGGTTGTGATATCATCTTTCGCCCATGCACGGTCCAGGAGTTCACGGTCAATTTCCAGTGTCCCAGGAGCACCGGAGGGCGTATAGCTGACCGAGCTGGTTCGCGAAATGTAGGCGCGTGCAAGACGGGCCATTAGCACTCGTCGAATAGATGTACGGAGCGTTCTCAGAGCACCGATCGATGTCCGCGCGGATCGTACGACGTCTTCTTCATTAGGGTATAGGTGGTACTTCAAGATGACGGTCACGGAGGCCGAATAAGGTCCTGTAACGAGAGAATCGAGAAGCTCCATTATTCTCTTCTCAATGTCGTTTTGATGCTCGGAGCCTGCAGTAAGTGAGAGACGAGGCAGCGGAGAGGCATAGTAGGCAAGAGATTTGAACAGATGCGGCAAAATGGTTTTCAAATGCATCGGTGCGATTGCTTTTAGGCGAACAGTCAAGTACCCGAGATAGGACTCGACTGCAAGGTCTGTCGCAGACGGTGTGTGCACCACATGAGATATGGAAGCGGAAGAGTGGTGGCGGTGGTGCTTCAACGAAACGCGCATATTCGAGGCCGGGCTTACGAGGGTGACGTCCGAGAATGCGGGGTTCGCCATCGACGCATGATCCCAGCCTGCGTTCAGCGACCAGTCAATCATGTTGCCAAATAGCTGCAGGACAGAACTAGTATCGGTCTCTGCCAGTCTTGCAACGAACTCAAGTCGTCCGACCAATGACACCAGCAGCGCCAGCATGGCGTCCACACTACGCTGACGCTCTCCACGCTCCTCAGCTGAGACGCTGTCAACAGTTATGCCGATAAACGCCCCCTCAGTCCATGCGCGCAGAACTTTGAGCAAGGATTGTTCCATCCCGATAGTTTCGGCGCCGGAGTGGATGAGAGCTACAAGAGCCTTGAAGCGAGGCTCCCAAAGCTCCAGAGACCAAGGTAGCGAAAGGTCCATGAACAGCGACAAGCAGGTCAGACGATCGGCTGTCGTTAGAGCTGCGGATCCGCTATTTTCCCAATACGCGGTGAGGATGTCATATCCAGCAGCTTGCAGCGCAACCGGAGAGTCTGTCGAACAGAGGCTTGCCAGAACGGGACTTAGAATGGCTAGTCGAGGCGGCGGGGAATGAGTAACGAGCATACCGGCTAAAGCTCTCGCATGGTGGATGGAGGGGACAGCGGGCGGAGTGAGTGCCTCTACGAGTGCATCGAGTGAGAGGGATGCGGGAGAGTCTTGAGGAGCGACCACCGTATCCGTTCTTCCTCGTCGCCAGGTGAAAGGTGTGAAAGCCGTATTTGATCTTTGACGCGTCGGACGATTCGCATCCTCCGCTGTTGAAGGCATACAGGACTAGAATAAGACGTTGAGTCTGTGCAGTATACGCAGAAGGCCCGAGAACGCACCTGCGTTGCAGTAGATATGCCCTAAGCATGCAAACCCCGAAGGATATATAGGCTCTGATACGTCGAATGAGAGCTGTTCCCAAGCCATATATAACTGCGGCGAACAGCCGACATACTCGAGTGCACCTCGCAGCCTGCGTACAATCTTCCAGGTGAGTGTCTCCCTGCCAGTGCACTCGGACAGTGCCGCACTTGCGCTCTCTTGTCGTAAAAAAGATATTACGCGGTGCTGAAGGGTTGTCGTAGGAGGTGGACCTGCTTTCGGTTGTAATTCCAGAGATTCAACGAGGTCAAGGTCAGAGCCAGAACGTCGAAGGCACTAAAGCGGGCGTCTTGATCGCAAGTAGGCGCTCGAGATGGTCACGGAAAGAAAATCTCGGCTATTCCCATAGCATGCCACAATCGTAGACACATTGCCCTTTATACGCAGCTACCCCTGACTAGGCCTGGCTATCGTCCGAGTCCATGAGCACAATCAGGCTCCAGAAGGTGGCAGCTCTCCGACGTATGATGCATACAGTCACTCAGATAATGCCAGAATAAATTTGTTGCAGTCTAATTTGAAAGTTTCATGAAATAACAATTTGCATGTCTAAGGAAACAGATGCTAACCTTCAACGGCTTTCTTTGAGATTGCCATGCCCCGGACCTGACCCTTCTCGCGTGTCTGATCCATGTCGAGAGCTGCGACATGCAACTTCCTGTTAGACTCCTGCGATCAGTGAGATTATGTCCATCTGGTATAGTGTCTCGTTGGGACGTACAAGTGAATTTGCTTGTGATATCAACAGTCGCTGCCAAAGGCCACGGATCTTGTCTTCCAGAGCAGCGTAATCGGACACGAAATGTTCCAGGATCGCATGCCTGTGGCAATATTTAAAGCATATCACGCATATATCCACCAAGACTGACATCTCTTCAGTCTCTCTAACGAACATGGCCGCCCCCCGTTTGCCCTGTAGGACCGTTCACTTCGCCACCTGCGATTCGAGAGAAATTGCAGCACGCACGCAGGAACCAAGCTCGGCCCTGGCTGCAGCTAAGAACTTAGCCTCGCTTTCTCCCTTTTTCTTCTCCCAGGAAGCTTGTAGGGAAGCAGTGTTAGACGGCGCTGCTGTGTAGGGCAAGACCTCACATTGAACTTGCTGGGCCATTGTGGCCGCAAAGCTAAAATAGTCATCTAAATCTGCATGGCCTGTTTGTATTTAAAAGGAAGAGAATATGCTTACTTATCGTCGCTGCCCTCAGACTGTTGAGTCTCGCTGGGCTTCTGGACATCTACGGTAAACTTCGCGTCGCACGTGGACTGCGGGAGACAGAATGTACCTTCCTGGTTTCGCGCGGCATATGGGAAAGGGACGAGGTGATGGTAGATGCGGACAACAGGCTCGGCGATAATAACATCGTTCTGTAAATCCAGAGGGCTTTGTGAGACGTCTCTAAATTTCAAGTGTCAATCAGAGGCCAGACCCCGTGTACTCCAGACCGCGCCGAGAGCGCCGCTTGGATTCGGCTGTAGAAATTGCAGAGGAAAGGATCGGTGATCCCTCTGAATACATGTGGCTGATCTGTTCTGAAAGCTGGCACTTGTTGAAACAAGCGTCGAACTGTTTGCTATATGCATCTAGCTGCTCACTCGAGAGCACGATAAAGCTCCAGGGGCGCCGCAAGATGTAGACTTCGGCCTCTTCCTTCAGAGTAAGCTCTTGCATTGCTAACTAGCGAGCTTCCCACGCGACCAAAGACCGAGGAGAGGCAGATACTACCCTCTCACCTAAACGACAACGATCAAAGTTGATGAGAGGTATGTATGATTTTTTGTTATTTTTCGATTATTTACATCGTGCTGTCCATCCATTAGGCATTGCCAGATGCTCAGGTTCATCTCACTGGGGATGAAGACATTGCTTGCCTGCGCGTTGGGTCCACTCTAGGTCGTATGTAAGCCAAGGGAACCTGCGACGCTGACACAACACGAACCGTGTCAGCTGTCTCCCTTCCCCTCCTCTGAGCTTTATTTAAAACTACGAACTTGCGTGACAGTCCCGCATATTTGTTAATGCCGGCGGGGGTGTCATTTGTGTCAAACTGCAGCGACCGGCAATCCCCTGCTGCTCAACAGGGCTCTGAGGAAAACTGGACGCATAGTTAGCCTTCGATCATCCGATACGAGTGTTGCAATCCAGATGAGACACGCGAGGCCAAAGTTAGCTGCCTGTCGCTCTGGAACTCTTAAATTAAAGGGGCCATACAGCACGTGGTGAGAACACATCAGCGGATAACTTCCTCACTGACGGAAATTGAGGACGAGATGGCCCGCGCGACGTAAGTCGATCTACTCAGGACACATCGACTGGCCGTTAGATGTCAGTCTCAGAAGATGTAAGAGCACAGAGTTGCGTAGCAAAACATATCTGTATATCATGGATAAACGCATTGACCAAGAGCAATGTACTCGTGAGACGTGCGAAATTGGGGTCCACTAGTTGAACAGTAACGTCGTAATACTCAGGCCCGGGAGCGAAACAGACGAGGAGGCCCCGAAAGTCTGCCAGTCCACAGTTGGACTCGTCAGCGCACCGCCGATAGAGGTACCAAGTCCCGCCTGTGAGGGCTGGACGGAGATTGCGCTGTTCCCCATGTTCATCAGGATCAGCGAGGAGTGAGCTGTGCCAAGCTGTGTCGACTGCTGAGCGGGATTCTTGAACGCCATACCGAAGACGTTTGACGGCAAACCGCTGACATTGAAGCGCGTTGAACCCATCCAAATGAAGTTTGCGAAGTGTTTCATGAGGAAGAGGCGCTTAACCTGGTACAGAGCGGTGTTCTGGTTCGTTGCATAATCGGGATCGTAGTAAATCTGCAGGTTTTCCGTGAGTTTAATCCGAAGGTGCAGTAGCTCAACACCAACCAAGCCATCATTCCAACCGTTTGAGTTTGGTGCGGTAGGGCAAGTTGCATTACCAAGTGGTGCGCAGCCGATGCCGTTCGACAAGGCAGTCCAGAAGTCAAAGTGAGCATCAAGCCTAAAAGAAATTTCAGTATGGACACATGAAATGCGAACACAGCACTTACGCCTGGGTGAAACTTTGATAGACAAGCTGTCCGAGCTGGAGGGCACCGATCATTGTAGGTCTTCACGACTATATTAGCCGGTATTATTGAGAAACGTCTGATTTACTCACTCGTATATGCCAGAGTAAGTTAATGGTGCAGCAGGATTGTTCTGCTGGCTAGAGTCTGCCGCCTTGAAGCAGCAAATCTCGGTAAACCACGTATACACGCCGCTAAGGTTCCTCCCAATACTGCCCATCTGAGCGACCTCCGCGTCGCTGCCAAATCCGTACTGGTGGTGGCTCACAGCTGCAAGTGCGCCCTTCTGCACCTGCGGTATCCATTCCGGCGCTTCGGGAATGAAGTTGCCTGTGCTGGACGACTCGTCGGCCATGATGCCGACGGACTGCAAGCCGGCAGCATCGAGGGCGGAACGAAGGGTGTTGATAACAGATGCGCGCTGCTGAGGCGTAACCTCCATGCCTTCCTGCCCACAGCTGCCGAAAGTCTGAAATTATACCGGCATGGATCAGTATGTAAGATGCGCAAGCGGATATAGGAGACGCACATCGTCGGGCTCGTTCATCAGAGACACATGAGTGAAGACGACACCTTCCTCTTTCCAATGGGCAATCACATCGGCAAGATACTGGGCATAAGCTGGAATCTGTGCATCGACGAGCGTCCCACCGCAAGAAGCATTGTTACTTGTCATTGTCGTCGGGGCCGAATTCACGAAGGCTGTAATTTGCGGGACTTTGAACTGCGAGGCTTTCTGTAGGAAATAGACACCTGCGGCATCGGCAGACCAGTTGTATACACCTTGCGAGACGTAGAATGTCTCAGGTGCACGCCTTTACGAAGCGAAGATTGTGACGTTAATAGCTGGCAAAATCCATGATTCGGTAAGTCTGCGACGCACGTTGGGTTGCTGACACCAATGCCTCCTCCGCCGACATTGTAGCGGTACGAGGTCAAGCCAGCGCCAGATGGGCCAAAGAGGAGTTCTGCGACCTGTTCACGCACGCTCTCGGGGAAGTTGAACACGTCATTCGGCCACCAAGCCCCGCTCGCGCCGATACCGTTGATAACTTGACCAGGTGTCGAAGATACTGTAAAACCTAGATCATGGAAAGAGTCCATGTTAGGGAAGCCCCGAGAGGCGGGTAGTGCATACCGAAGGCAACGACGCAATAAACGCCAAGGGCGGCTAAGAGGGACAAGTAGGCCATGCTGGCCTCGCTGTAGTCGACGGCGCGGCATCGCATTTATATCCAGAGGCTAGGAAAGAAGCGGAAGCAATAGAACGACGTTCTCCCATGCCGAGGTGGATCCTCGTCCGTTGGAATTACGGACACGCCTGCATCAGAAGGCCTGCTTCCACCTACATTCGCGCTCTCCGCCCGGACCGCGCTTGAGCTTCTGACATCGGACGCATGAAGACCATCTGATCTGGTGAGTTCGCAGAGAGAACTACCATGCGTAGGTGGCAGATGAGGCGAGTTGAGCTGTAGACACCGACCAACCAAAATGTGAGCTGCAAATGGTGAAGCCGCAAGCGTTCGTTGGTGGAATTGGCGCGCGTGCGTTTTCGCCAGCTATGGACGAGGCTGAGGTAAATTTGTCTGGTCGTATTCTCGCTTGTGACCTATACAATATCACGAGTCCGGAGATATCTCGAGTGAACACTCAGACAGGATTGGCCTTAATTGCCGTCAGCTGCACGTTCACGGAAGCCAGCACGTACCTACCGATTGTTTTGACGGCATCATGCGCACGCGGACGCTCGACGGTCAAGATAATGAGTCTTCAAGGTTACTGGGAAGGTATCATAGGGAACGGCTCTAGCCGGCGCTTCTTGGACTCGAACACATGAAAGCGCGAGAAACACCAAATGAACGCATCGCCTCCGTCTTCTTCGCCAGGTCTCGTTATATGCGTCCACGGTCTCCATGCATGGACTTCTCGGCCCTCCGCGAGTTGTAGAGATAACTTCACAGGTCCATGGTGGACCTCACTAAGGCGGAACAGCGCAGTCACTTCGCCGCGTCGTATCTCAAGTGAGTCAGAAGATATGACCGTTCCTCGGATGAGGATAACGTGCGGTGCATGTGAGCTCTTCGGATTGTGTACGGACGAAGCGTCGAGTATAGAATGGACGCGGATATGGACTTCAGGCCTCGCGAACTGTCCCTTCTTCTGCATACGGGCGAGATCTACTTCCCAAAGAATATGGTTATTGCGTATCACGGACAGTTGAAGATTGGCCGCCTCTGCCAGGCCGCCACTACACAGATAGAAGTCGTCAGTCACAGCTCAGAATAGATAAGCAACTATGAAGGCACATACCGTAGATACTTTGCGTTCTTCGCTTTAGACCGCTTCTCCGGACTCTGCTCTACACCACGATTGAGCTCGCGGTCGTATGGGTTGACGTAGCCAGTGACATTCTGCAGCGGAAAGATCGATAAAAGCTCCGCCGAGCCGCCGTCTGTGTGTATGTCTGTCGCCTTTGCAATGTTCGTCTGCATGATGCTCTTGATCGCTGGATTACTAGAATTTGCTGTCCGTTTGGTGAGCGGCGGCGGCGGCGGGAGTGGCTTCAAGCTACTAGGTGTAGATGCTGCTGTGCTTTGTCGTGGTACGAGGGTCCTGTTGGGGATACTGGTAATAGGTACGTGCGACGGGTCTGTGTGCAATGCGGTAGATGAGATGGGTCGATGTGTCACTGCCGAGGTGAGGGACCGTAGGTTCGACGAATTACGAGTGGGTCCAGCCATCGAGACTTCAGCCGGGGCAGGAGGCCTCAGCACCCTGAATTTCGACGAACTCGCAGTATGTGTCGAAGGACCTGCCGAGAGTGTTGCGATAATGGGAGGCTTCAGCGCCTTCAACTTTGTGTCATGGGAGGCGGCTGCTGCATGGTTGCTGGGCATTGCGAATGACGGCCGCTGGAGCGGCTTGAAAACATTTGAAGCCGCTGTAGTGCTCGTGTTGGCTCTTGCTGGGGTTTCAAAGCCTGTGAATCTCGGAAATTCGGTAACTCTCCTCTGCGGTTTTGAAGTGCTGGGCGTGGAGCTCTGGAACCCGTCAGGCAGTGTCATGCGTGGTCTTTTGGCCAGACGATCATTCTCATGAGCTGCATAAATGTCATCGTGATATCTCGCTGCTTGTTGTGGCGCACCTCTGTGTCACTGCCTTGAAGCATCCTTGAAGCGTGCGGGAGTGGTTGTAGCGAGCGAAGGGAAAGTTCCGTGTCGAGACCTTTGTGGCGTCAGCTCGGACTTTGGGGATGCTGAATTTGGCAAGTCTTTCACACACTCTCGGCGTAATAACCCTATGCCCATGTTCACTGCCTGTGCTGCAAAATATTCATTTTGAGCGGCGCTAAATGTAAACATGTCCAAGTACGGAGATCCTTACGAGCAACGAGCGGATTGACATCGTGAGCGCCTACGCCACAACGCGTCGTGTGCACGATGCCGGCAGGCGTCTCAGAACACGCCTCCTTTCGAGCTACCACGTCCGCTATCTGCTCACACGACCCCTCCTATCGCCCTTCTCATCCTTCTTTCACCGCTACTGCCATTACCGCCTCCTCCCGGGATGTCGATAGAGTACAGGCAGTACACGGGCGAGTCTGATTTGCCTCATATCATGGCTCTAGTTCAACACGAACTTAGCGAGCCGTATGTGATCTACACATACCGTTATTTCTTGCATCAGTGGTATGCTTTGATTTAATATGGTTGATGAGAGACGTATTAACCTCAGCCAGGCCTCATTTGTCGTACTTAGTAAGGATATTCATCAATAGCGCTTTGCTCGGCATGCTAATGTGAGCGGGAAAGGCTTATCCTGAGGGCTCAACTGAGCCTGTGGGTGTCATTGTATGCAAGCAGAGTTTTCATCACGAGGACAGGAGAAGGAACAGAGGATACATTGCGATGCTTAGCGTGCATAGAGGCTGGAGGAAGAAAGGAATAGGTGCGTCGCGGCGACCCTCGTAGCTTTCCTAGCTTTTGAGCATCAAACGCAGCGAGGGCCCTTGTGCAGAAGTCCATCGAGACCATGAGGAAAAGCGGTGCGAATGAGGTGCGGTGCTGTATCACTTGTCTCGTTCAATGCCACTAAGTCTGTGGTGCAGGTTGTCCTTGAAACAGAATTCGACAACTCTGCCGCGCTTTCGCTATATGAGTCTCTTGGCTTCATCCGCGAGAAGCGCCTCTTCCGTTTCTATCTGAATGGCAAAGACGCTTTTCGTCTGGTCCTCGTCGTCACTCCACTCCCTCCTGATTCGATGAATCGGCCACCAGTAGACTCGGACATCGAATCGCCGTTGTCAGAGTCTCCTCCCGCTCTCGACACGAAATCTATACCTCTCACGCGCCCTATGCCCATAATGTCCGCACCTGTGCAATACTTTACCGTACCTCCGTCATCTTATGACTCGGACGATGATGTCTCTGGTCGCTAATGACATCGTCCCCTTCCCTTGCACTCTTAGTCGGCACATGCTACTAGCATATTCGCCTTCGCACACGACACCATTGCCCAACCAGTCACGTTCAGTTTTCCGCAGTTCCATGTTAGTGTAAATATCAATTAGATTATTCAAATAATGGGCATACTTTTCTTGCAGTTATGTTTTGTAGTTCCTTGTTCACTTTGTACAGTTACTCTAGCTATTCGTGTCCTCCACGCACCTTCCACGTTATCCGCGCCAAAGATGCCGGCGTTGTATTGGAAGTCACGCTGCGAACCTCCGAGATTCTCTCGTAAGAATCGGAATTAGATCACATGGCTCAGCCTGAGCCACATCATCCGCTGCATGTAGCAGCAGAAAACTGAGCAGATGGCAGAGATGGACAAGCCAAAGACGTGTCGCAGAAAGTTGCAGAACAACGGGACCCCAGAACTTGATCAGTGCCTTCCTAATCTGCTCAGTAATTGTGGGGTCCTACTGACGTGGCGTCGCTTCACGTCCAGTGCGTTATAAGTCGTGTCTTTCCCACCCGTCAACTGCACAACTTTTTTCTTTTCCTCCCATCCCAACGACGTTCGCGACAACCTGGGCAGTAATGTCTCGGTTTACTCGTCGGCCTTCGCGAACCCAGTCGCGACGCCTGGCGTCCTCACTTACCCTCTTCTTCGTCGCTGTTCTCGCACTCCTTTTGGTCTGCCCAGTTGCCGTGAAGGCGGAGGAGGACGCGAAAGCGAAGTATGGGCCTGTCATTGGTATCGGTGCGTCCCTATATCTTGTAGCTCTCTGGACTGCGGACTCAGCTGCCTTCATAGATTTGGGAACAACCTACTCTTGCGTCGGGTGAGTTCCAAGGAGCTCGAAGCGGGCTTGGAGATGCTAACAGTTATTGCAGCGTACAACGAGGAGGGCGTGTTGAGATTATCGCGAACGACCAGGGTCATCGTATCACGCCGTCGTGGGTCAGCTTCACGGATGAGGAACGTCTCGTTGGCGACGCCGCAAAGAATGCCTACCACTCCAACCCCGAGAACACCGTGTTCGACGCAAAGCGTCTAATCGGTCGCAAGGTCGACGACCCCGAAATCAAGCGCGACCAGGTGCACTGGCCATTCCAGGTCGTGAAGAAGAATGACAAGCCCGCAATTGAGGTCAAATACAAGGGCGAGGCCCGCCAGTTCACCCCGGAGGAGATCTCGGCTATGGTCCTTGTCAAGATGAAGGAGACTGCTGAGGCGTACCTCGGCCAGACCGTCACCCACGCCGTGGTTACTGTCCCAGCGTGTAAGTTGTTTTCGGCGCGTTTCCCGTGTGTCTAATACTGACATGTTCTCAGACTTCAACGACGCTCAGCGTCAGGCTACTAAGGACGCCGGCACCATCGCTGGTCTCCAGGTGCTCCGTATCATCAACGAACCCACTGCCGCCGCTATCGCTTACGGTCTCGACAAGAAGGGCGGCGAGTCGCAGATTATCGTCTACGATCTCGGCGGTGGTACCTTCGATGTCTCTCTTCTGTCTATCGACGACGGCGTCTTCGAGGTCTTGGCCACCGCTGGGGACACTCATCTCGGCGGCGAGGACTTCGATAACCGTGTCATGGACTACTTCATCAAGCAGTACAAGAAGAAGACCGGCACCGACGTCTCACAAAACCTCAAGGCGCTCGGCAAGCTGAAGCGCGAGGTTGAGAAGGCCAAACGCACACTCTCCAGCCAGCAATCCACTCGTCTCGAGATTGAGTCCTTCGAGGACGGCAACGATCTCTCTGAGACGCTGACTCGCGCCAAGTTCGAGGAGCTGAACATGGATCTCTTCCGCAAGACCATGAAGCCTGTCGAGCAGGTGCTCAAGGACGCGAATCTCAAGAAGGAGGACATTGACGAGATCGTGCTCGTCGGTGGCTCGACGCGTATCCCCAAGGTCCAGCAGCTCTTGAAAGAGTACTTCCACAAGGAGCCTTCGAAGGGTATCAACCCTGACGAAGCCGTTGCGTACGGTGCTGCCGTCCAGGGTGGTATCCTTTCTGGCGATGAATCCCTTGGCGATGTTGTTCTTGTCGATGTCAACCCCCTCACGCTCGGTATTGAGACCACTGGTGGCGTCATGACCAAGCTCATCCCTCGTAATACCGTCATCCCCACCCGCAAGTCTCAGATGTGAGTTTCTCTGTCAGCTTGCTTTGTGTGTCACGTGTTAATGGCTCTTTTTGTAGCTTCTCGACCGCTGCTGACAATCAGCCAACAGTCCTGATCCAGGTCTACGAGGGTGAACGTTCGCTTACGAAGGACAACAACCTTCTCGGCAAATTCGAGCTCAACGGCATCCCACCTGCACCTCGTGGCGTCCCGCAGATCGAGGTCATCTTCGAGATTGACGCGAACGGTGTGCTGAACGTCAAAGCCGCCGACAAGGGCACCGGCAAGTCAGAGTCGATTACGATCACGAACGAGAAGGGCCGCCTGTCGCCTGAGGAGATTGAGCGGATGGTGAAAGAGGCTGAAGAGTTTGCTGCCGAGGACGAGGCGAACCGGAAGCGCATTGAGGCGCTCAACTCGCTCTCGACGTTCGTGTACTCGATGAAGAACCAGTTGGCTGATCAAGAGGGCATGGGCGGAAAGCTTGAGGAAGATGACAAGAAGGCAATTCTCGCGGTCGTTAAGGAGACTACGGAGTGGATCGAGGAGAGCGGCCAGACCGCGACTGCGGAGGACCTCGAAGAGAAGCTGCAAGAGGTGCAAAATATCGTGAACCCGATCACGAGCAAGCTTTACAGCTCGGGTGGCTCGTACAACGACGACGACGAGCAGGAGCCCTTCCACTCTCATGACGAATTGTAGTGCACAGTAGTCTTGACATTGTTCTATACACCTGCGATGCATAATTAATTTTATCTCTTCATATTTGTTTTGTGCGCGTGAGCGAGCTGAGGCAAACCAAGTCTTGGGGAATTTCGTTAAATTTGAAGCGTACAGCCGGTCAAAATGAGTTGCAAGAAATGGACAACTACGTGGGAGGATGCGAGGATAATGTATGTGCTCGGACAAGTGTACTAATGCAAGACAGATCGTTACGCCAAAGGACCCGTGAACCGCGTACAACAAGGATGGGCACAGGGCAGGACTAGTCAAAGGCTTCCTCTGCGCTTCGTCTCACAAGTCGACGGACCTTCTTCCTGTATGCTATGTGATCACACATCAATGATAGCTCCGATAAGCGAGATGGATAGCATACCCTCAAAGCTCTCGCGCACCTCCTTTGCGGCATCGACATTCGCTGGGCTGTCGGTGTTTGGCCGCTCCTGAGAGAGCAGCGACACGACGCTGAGAAGCTGCAACAGTCGCCAATGAGCGAGACAAGTTTCCGGGAAGGAAGGGGAACATACGATTGACTCGACGGTGTGCACGGGCAGCCACCGCTCACCCGAATCTTCGTAGCCGTACTGGTCCTCACCGGGTGGGTGCTGTCATGTTAAGGTGGTCAGTAACTGCAACGATGGGGACGGGCACCCGCAGGAAACGGGGTGAGACGCGTGCAAGATCGAGACTGGAGCGCGGTCTAGGACGTCTGAGAGCAGAGCGATCCAAGTAGAAGCTGCTACTTCGGTGTGCTATGGGACAAAAGCTGCCGGAAGGAGTATAGGAACCCGTTTGGGTGGTACGGTCCGAAAATCCAGGAGATACTCCCGATGAGGCGCAATTGAGGTCATACAGCCGCAACCCCGCAATGTGATGCCCTGGTCTGTGGTGTAGACTACTGGCTCAGGCTTAACGCTTCCTCGCCACTGTTTCGCAGGCTTGAACGTACACGGGGAGGCGGCTTACCAGGATAGAGATACAGACGTTGCCATCTGGGTAAACTGGGTACGTGAATAAGTATATATATATATATTGTAGGTGTCGGTAATGCCTTACTGTTAGGGTGCCACATCGGAGTGGTAAACCGAAGCTTCGGTGGGTTGAGGGGGAAGTCATCCGGGAAGGTTAGTCGGGCTTTGAAGAAACCTCCTTCGCTAACGGACGGATGGCGTGAGGCTCTCATACCATCGTCTACAGGCAGAACGCACGTACTAGAGGGTGTCCGGTGGACTTTAACGTAGTTCGTTAGTTAGACGACCTCGCCTTCGAGACCGATGAGACGCACCCGATGATCATGACCTCCCACTCATACAAATTGTTGTCATCGACCAAGCCTTTTCACAAAGGAAGTGGCTGTTGAGTATCATTTGAACGATCAACGTGATCTAGTGAGTGTCTACGGTACCTGCGGAGAATCCCTCCACGGGGTGCTTGGTGAGCTCCGTCAACTGGCGACGAAGGAGGAGAGTGTTGGAGGGTGTGTTCGTCGGTGCAGTCGAGGTCATCGTCGCTCACGAGAAAGCTGCAATACACAGAGGGTGAATCGATGGTGAATGGCGAGGGGTGGTGGATGTTGCGGATTAAGGTGAGAAATGGAGGGAGACAGTATCTTGCAGCCTCACGCGCTCACGGCGTACCTTAACCGGGACCCGGGACACCGGCGGGGTAACATTGCATGTCCCCTCACCGTTCGCTCATTCACTTGTACACAAACCTACCTACTCTTAGCCGTAGATTTGGAAACCGCGTTACAGTCAAGCCGAACGTGTAAGTAAAATATCTAGCACCCTATGACATCGTGTTGTAAGCGGGGTCCAAGCAGCGCAGACCACGGAGCAGAGCTACGGGTCGACCATGACCGAATCTCCTTCAAACAACATAACCTCCTTCGAAGAAGTGCGTGAATGATTATGTGAATAGGCACGGCATTCTCAGACACCATAGAGCAACCTTGGCGATGAGAATGGAGAAATCTACATGTTCCAGTGGCTAGGCTCGAATGAAAGGGCGTTGCAGCAAACAACCGGGGTATGTCACAATATATCGTTTCTGATGCTTTGTTATTGACCTAGTTTGACATGTAGGATCAGCTCAAAGATGTTCAGCAAGAACTAGTTGACCAATTGCTGAAGATAATCTCTGCACCTGAACCATATCCCGCTCCAGGTCGTCCTGTTCGCAGCCTCGTGGCTCAATGCCTTACGAGGGTCTACACCTATGGAGAGACGAAGACACTGTTTGATACAGTTCAAACACTGCTCAAGCACCTCGACCCGAAAGCGGCTTTCAAGGAGATCAACAAAATGTAAGACGTGCACTCGTTATGGGAGCGAACACAATGTTAACTCCATACAGCGCCGCTCTGTGGTGCATAGGAGAACTCATGGGGACATTCGGAGGCCAGGTGAGCCCTGAACGGTATGACAATGGTCGTGACTGACATACTCTTAGATCATGTCTCTGATGGTCGAAACCACTACAGCATGCCTGAGACTCTCCAAGTCGTCCAATGTATGCAGAAATTTACACCGTAGGCTCACTCACACACTAATCAAATTTGTCCTGCTAGTCTACTATCATTCGGTACCATGCTTTACTCGCGTTGGAGAAGGCTATCAGGACGGCGAAGCGTGCTCTGACAGATTCCTTACTAAAGGACGTCATCAAGCAAGCCAGGTCTTTCCTTAGTGACAAATCGTCACCGGTTGTTCGCGCTGCGTGCTGTGTGCGTGACAGCCTGTTGCTACTTGTATCTATACTTATACTTACCCAAATGATTTGTTATCAGGTGCTAACCCTCCTGTTTCCTTTCGGAGACGATTCGAAGAGTCTCCCGGATGTTGAGCAGATGGTGCAACTCTCTGTGCGGCAGCTAGATACGGCCGACCAGCTGACTCGTCACTCCCTTTCCAAGCTGGTTGCCCACGTACTTGGGTCCACGCAGATGGAGCACGCCGTCCCCGTTCCAGAAGCTCCCAAGCAGAAACAGAAGGCTGGTGGGTTATCCCAAGATCAGGATAATGAAACGCAGCCTCCAGCGCAAGAGATGAAGCGCTTGCTCGCACCCCAGGAGATGCTTGCCCAGTTATCAGTTCAGTACAACAAGCCAAACGTTACGCGACGAACGAGAGTTGGCATTTTCGATTGCTACGTCTCCCTTCTCAGCTTTCTTGGTTCCAACTTCGTGGAAAGCAACTACGCGCTCATTGTCAACCACTTCATGACAGAAATCGTATCTAATCCTCGCAGCACTGCATCACGATACGATGTGCTTTTCGTACGAAGCTTAGTGGACATCGTCTTGCGCGATCTCATTGGCGTGCGGACACTCAGCGAGCAGGCGCAGATATCTGCTATCCAGGAGCTTTCTAATGCGTACTTGAAACGCTGGCCAGCAATGATGCCAGGGCAAACCGCGCCAAACCCTTATGTCCTCGTTGTTGCATTACGCGAAGTAGGGGGTCTACTTCAACAGCTCGGAAACGCGCCGACCCCTGTGCAAGTAAGTCAGAACCAGTGAACATGATTCGAAAACTCATTCGACTCTCCCAGGACTCCCTGGTGGACCCTATAATGACCCTGCTCACACATCCGGTTCACTCCGTTCGGCTCAATGCAGCTTGGACGCTACGATGCTTCTGCTACTCGACACCCTTACGTCTCCCTAAGGTCTTGCTCAGTCTTGTTGAGCTGCTCCAAAACGACCTGACAGCCCTCACTACTCCCGCCGCTCCTTCAGACATTGACACGCGTATCCTGGGTCGTGCATACGGCCTGGCCGGACTCCTATCAGTAATTCCGAAACGGCCTCTGTATGCTTCCTACGATATCAGCGCGAATGTTTTTTATATTGCCGTGCAGCTGCTCAAGCGCGCGGGCGAGCACGACGTGAAGATCGCAAAAGTGGAGATCGAGGTCGCTTGGACACTCGTCGCCGCTCTCATGACTCTAGGACCAAACGGTGTCCGAGCTCATCTTCCCCAGCTACTCGTTCTCTGGCGCAACGCTCTTCCGAAGCCCACGACGAAGGACGGTATGTCTGGGCGAAGCGCAGCAGAGTGGACTTTCCTCCTCAGCGTGCGGGAATATGCTCTCAGGGCTGTATTCTCATTCCTGCAGCACAACTCGCCAGTTCTTTTGACTGCCGACGTTGCGAGGCGCATTACATCTTTATTGACAAACGCACTCCAGTTCGCGAACACCTTCGCGTCCCAAAAAGTGGTCGAGGAAACGCCTGAAGGAACGACTCAAGAAGGTCGTGGTCTCTCTCTGTCTGCAACTGACGCCCTTTTCCGCTCGCGGATCTATCAGGCGTTCATGGCTTTGGGCGTGTCCAAGGTGTCGGAGACAACACAGGCTGCGCTGTTGCAGTTCGCTGTCTCACTCTTTGCTAGCCCGGAAGGCTATGTAGGATCGTCCGTTCAGGCCGCCATCGCTGCATCTTCTGGAGCATTCACGAGCGTCTGGCAGAGCACAGACTGCTATGCGTATGGTGTGACTGATATTGAAGTCAACGAAGATTTCTCAACGGACGCAGTGGAAGGCCGAGGCGACTGGCTCAACAGAGATACTATACATGCCTCCATCGACGATATGGTACGTGTGCTCGTCCTGAGCACTGCAGCCAACACCACTGACGATTGCGAAGTGCAATAAACCAATCATTCGCTCACTCGAGCACGATCCTCTTTCTGTATGCCAAGCACGGTTCTCGGAGTCGGATCGCCAAGGGCAATGTGTTAACACACCTCCGGCAGCGACTGCGGCTATTGATGAAGCGATTCAGTTGTTTTCCCAGCTCCTTCCGTTGCAAGACTCAGCCTCCATGACACGCACAGTCGCTCAGCTAGTTGAGGCTACGGGATCAACAAAGTCGGAGAAGAATACTGGACGGAAAGCTGCTGTCCTTGTCAATAGCGCGGTCGCTCTTGTTCTGGCCCTTCGCCAAGCGTCCACGCTCAATAGACAAATCGCAGAGACGATTGGTCATCCCAAGATCTCCGCACCTCTGGCCGACTTACTGAAGGTAAGTACTCGGGCGGCGATAATAACGGTATCCCTAAATGGTCATGGTATAGAGTATCTACCTCGACGAGGACGTTGTGATGCGCAAGGCAGGCAGTGAAGCTATCGGCCGTCTCACCAGCCTTGCCGGCACCAACTTCTTTGCAAGCATTATAAAGACACTTGTCAACGAAGTAGTCAACAACCGTAACCCAACTGCACGTGCAGGATGTGCCCTGGCTTTCGGTTCGGTCTATCAGCATGTTGGAGGTCTGGCAGCAGGGCCTCTCCTGAAGACTACTGTCCACATCTTGATGTCGCTCGTCAACGACCCGCATCCTGTCGTGAGCTTCTGGGCCGCGAGGGCGCTATCTCGCGTTATCGACGCTGCCAGTCTTGCATACGCCTCTTTCGTTCCCAGCACTCTCGGTCTGCTCTTCCGGGTATACATGCTCGAATCCCACGAGCCTGAGGGCGGTCCGCTTAACTACGTTAACACGAAGGGAGAGCTGCCGTTATACCAGGCCCTTTGTCAAGCCATGGATGCTGTCGTCACGGTCGTCGGTCCAGACATTCAAGAGTCTGCGCGCACTCGGTCATTAGTACTCGACCTTGTTCACCAATTCCTGGCCGAGGAAGATGACGGCACCTGCGTGGAGGCCATCAAGTGTGTCCAACATCTTCTCATATTCGCTCCAGACCATATCGACGTGCCAAAGCTTGTGGGTCGATTCCGGAGCTATTTGTCTTCGTCAAAGCGGCCTCTCAAGCTAGCGTCGATCAACGCATTATACCAACTAGTGCAAAAGGATGTCATGACTTTGTCAAGACTCGGAGGCGACCAGCTGGTTGAGGAACTATTTGCCATGTTGGATGACGACGCCTCGGTTGCTGGTGTTCGTAACGTTATCATCTCATGGCTTCAGCAGACGGTCGTCTATAACCCCTCCGCTTGGATCGATCTTTGCCAACGCATCATGTCGCGGACGACCGCTTCCCAGCAAGCAGGCGACACCGCCAAACGCAGCGATATTGACGACGAGGGCCAGTCACTCAGCATCGATCCTACTGCTAACAGTGATGGCGCCGACGGTCTTCGCTCAACGGCAAGATGGCGAACTCAGTTGTTTGCGCTGCAGTGCCTGCACGAGATTTGTATCACTGTTTCACGATCTAGTCGCAGAGAGCACTTGGATATTGCGTTCGCGAGGGCACAAGGCATTCCCTTGCCAAGGTTACTCGTATCTCGCATCGCGGATCTCATACGCACGGCATTCACCGCCTCTGCAGCGCACGTAATGGAGATTCGACTTGAGGGTCTTACGGTCTTGAGGGATGTCATCGAGGTATGTCCAATGTGGATCTTACCGTTGCTGCTCACCGACGACTATGTTACAGATCTTCTCCCGCTCGCCAGATCCAGACTTCGACGGAGCACTCTTACTAGAGCAATACCAGGCGCCCATTACGGCGGCTTTGACCCCAGCTTTCTCTGCGGACTCTACACCAGAGATCTTAGCATCCGCTATCAAAGCCTGCGCGGTTTTCGTTGGCTCAGGTGTCATCAAGGATGTCACCAGGATGGGTCGAATCTTGAAATTGCTCACATCTGCTCTCGAGCAATGTCAAGGTGTGTACTTTCGTCATCACCCGATTGCACATCAACTTACAGGTTATGCAGAACCAGGTATGCTGCGTCTTGGGGAGGCTGTTGACCTAGGACCAAATGCGTCTGTCATGTTACGCATCGCGACGCTCTCGGCGTGGGCAGAACTGCAAGTCTCAAGCACATCACAGACGTATCTCATAGACGTGATTCGGCCGTACAGCAAGGCCCTAGCGTCCCTATGGATAGGTTCTCTCCGTGATTATGCAAGTATCCGAGCGGGAACCGAACTTCTTGACGATGCCGCAAGCGGAGGAGTTGACTCATCATATGCTAGCCTCGGCAAGGAGGTGTTACTTCCAGTATGGCTTCTGGACATCGTATCCGTTCATGAGACTAACTGCTACCTCCAGTACTATAAAGACGCTTGGTCCATTATTCTACAGGCCGTCACTACAGCCATGGACAGTAATGATTCGTTTATTCGTGCGGCTGTTGATGGTCGCGAGCCAACAGATGCAGACGCTCATGCAGCTATGAACGGCACGGCATTTGAACAGCCTACGACCTTCTTCTACGTGCTCTTCGGACTGATCTTCGAGGCTCTAGCTACGTCGACCCCCGAGACCGGATTGCAGAACATTCGAAGCACCGTAATCTCGCTCAGGGCTCTGAAGCATCTCGTCAGGCCTCAGTATGCTGGGAACGCATTCAAGGAGGTCCCCATCTTTGAAGAACTCGTAAACCTCTGCTACCGTATGGCCTTGACAGAGCCAGCTGCTGTTCAAGTTTACTTGGTTGATAGCCTAGCAAGCCTAGCAGATAGTGTTGCACAGGGCGAGAGGTACGTGGGGCGCACTCCTTGAGAGACACAGTGCTCAGCCGTCTGATAGAAAACAGCAACAAGACTCGCCTCCGCCCCAGGTGCACTGTCTCAGGATTTGCGCGTACGTCTTAAAAGGGGCAATTGGCAACACGAGGGACAAATCCATTCGTAAGTGTTCTGTCTTCCTTTGAAAGCCTTCTCACGGTCCCACAGAAGATAACGCGACTCCAGCTGATCGAGTGCTGTTAATCAATGCTGGCTTCGACGCCTATGCTGTGATCGCCGCCGCCTGCGAACCATCTCGTAACATTGAGTATCGCACTGTCGCCGTTGCTCTGTACAACGGTTCGTCTCGCGCACCACTTAATCCTGTCATAACACTGAAACCATACGCTAGATTTATTAACGGACGAGATATCCGAAATGGACCTCGTTGGACCGACACTGCAGTCCCTGAAGAAGCTTCTTGAGAAGGTACCTGAAGATGACCACGAACGAGTCAAGTACGAGAGAGTGGTCCATGGGCTTTTATCGGCATGCCTCTTGAATATAGATGCGATGAGGTTAGTTGGCTAAGGCAGTGTATATACCGTGCTGCTCACTGATCAGGTATGCAGAGGTCGCGATGGTCCTATGTGCAGGAAGAAGATAAAAAACAACGTGTTGGCGGCTGTCTTGGTATTAACCATCTTGCCTCCTATCGTAAGACTCAGTCTAGCAGTCATCGAGCACTGCTGCTTCTTGATCTCGCAGCAACTTAACGAGTCGAGCGAGGCATGTCATCGAGCTTTCCCCATCAAGCTGCGCCCCTAATGGACTATGTAGATGGCTTTGACTGCGGCACACTGTGCTAAAACGTTGGTTACTACCTCAGTAATGGGCAACCCTGCTCTGCAACACTGCGCCGGGCTACTGTTACCGGGCATGATCGAATGCGTTGCACGAGTAGCGGCCCTCGAAGGCGAGCCGACCGAGGTCCGCGTCCAGATTATTAGCGAGATATGGAAGGCCTTTTCCGCTCTTTTCACTTCGACGAGCGAGGAGAACAGTAAGCAGCCACACCACTTTCCATCTCTCCATAGTAGCTGACAAGGTGGTGCAGAGTCCCGGCTGCTGGGCGTCCTTCTTCCAACGATGACCCTCCTACTTGATCCAAGCCGGACGCCGCCTTCAGTGCTGCACGCGCAAACGATCGCGCAAGCACTCACGTTCGCCGCGGCCTCGCCGCAGGCCTTCAAGGAAGCCACGACGAAACTGCCGGCAGAGCTCAGGGATACGTTGGAGACCTCGGTCAGGCAAGCCCTCGGCAAGAAGACGTCCGCGAGCGAAGCGCACAAGCCGCAAATTTCCTTACGGTCGTTCTGAACTATTCTTGAGGATAGCAAGATGTGTCGCGCGCAAAGTAGACACGATGATATTATTTCGGATAATTCATGCTGTTCAGTCCAGACACGCCATTGTCAGACAGTTTCTTGGCAAAAGGCTGGACACAATAAGGAATAATAATAGTGCTGCTCATGGTCACAGGATAGATGTATTCTACGGCTAATTGCACAGGCAAAACAAGACAGCAAGAACTAGAAACACCCCCGACTAAGCAAGCGTAAATCAAGAATCTTACTCAATGTACGACAGCGGTGTAGATGCATTTAGCCGCTCCTCCTGCAAGCGCTCCTTCAAGCGCTCCGCCGCGGCGTCGTACACATACTGTACAGGATGATGCCACGGCAGCTGCGGCGAAGCATTTTCCTCATTATTGTCCTCCACGAACTCGTCCGATCGATGCGAGTCGTTTCCGTGCTCGTAGAATAGGTCGTCTGGGTCGAACGCTGTCATCCCCTCGTGTCAGCCAGATTTTACATCTGTAAGAGAAGGAGGTGCACATACTATCGCTGTCCGGCGGTGGCGGCGCCGGCCGCTTGCCGAGGGCCTTTGCGCTCGGTCGCTTCGGTGCACGGTACTCCTCGTCCGATTCCGGGCTCTGGCTGTCACTGTCGCAGATCCGAAGCCCGCTGACAGCGTGCGCGACATCTTGCGCAATGTCATGGTTGTATTGTGTTGAGTGTGTCAACGAACTGCGGTCTGGCGACGGTGTGCGTGAGCGCGCCATCGGGTGTAGGGGTTGGCGCGGACCATGTGGTGCATGAGGCGGCGGCGCGAGTGAAGTCGTAAGGTGTGCGTGAAAGCTACCCGGACTATGCGAGAGCGTAGACGGATGCCCCGGTACCAGAGGCAATGGGTGACCATGGGAGTGCAACTGTGCGCTGTGGACCATGACGGACGGAGCCGGCGAGGGCGAGGGCGATGATGAGGGCGATGGCGTGTGCGAGGATGTTGCACCAAAATGCGGGTGCGGTGGCTCGAGGTGCATCTGGCCGTCTGCATCGTAGTATAGTTGCTGTTGGATGATCAGTGTCTGTACGAGGACAGTGATGTCAAACTTACACTCCTATCAATTCGTGTCTCCTTCTTGCTCCGCTCCTCGGTATCACGCTCTATACCAACGCGCTCGAGATCATCGTATTGCCGCAGCGCGTCCGTCAGCTCCTCGTTCGCTTTAAGCAGGGCCGCGAGGAGGAGCTCCTCTTGCGTTGCTTCTGCATGCTCTGTCGAGTCCTGTCGCATGACACCTGGGAGATTAGCCTCGTCGTGTGAGCGCGTCCGCCTCTGTAGCTGCAGGCTGCCACGCCCAGCTAACTGGCGTGATCGCTCCGCGCCGGCTGAAGCCCAAGGTATCTGTGCGAACACGAGCTCTTGTGATGCACGACAGCGCGCGTAGAACTCCTGTTCACAAAGTCAGTAAAGCATACAAGTAGCGATGAATTACTGACGCGTATGATATCCTTGTCTTTGAGATCCTCAGGCTTTGCGAATGCGAGTGCTTCGGAGAGGAGTGACGCGTTGCCACTCGCAATCTTGCATTCCTGTAAGAGGCGGCGCATATCCTCCTCGGGCGGGATAACGCGGTGCCGCGACGACTTATGTTTCGTCACCTGTCCATCATGCTTGAGAACTTAATCACGTATCAAAGACTAGTTGGCATACCGACGGCCGCCGTGGGTCTTCTGAGTGTTTCGCGGTCAATGGCGGTTCGTGTAAGCTGGGCACAGGTGGGTTGAACATCGCATCGTCGGTGTCGAAGGGGACGCCCTCGTCTGGCTGCTCTGGCGACTTCACCTTGCGCCATAGCCCTCGGAACCCCTCTTTCTCGTGTCGGCTGCCTGGGATATTATTAGCATGGCGCTGTGCTCGAGGAAGGACATTCCGCACCTGGTGCGCTCGTCAGGTATGTAGCGCCTGCGAGAACCTCGAGTAACCGCTCGCGCACGACCGGCGATGTCTTCGAAGCTTGTAGCACGTCCTCGAGTGTATCCAGGAACTTGCGTGAAGAACATTGTTGGATAAAGACTTCGCGGCAGTTTCTGAGCATAATCGCCCATAGCTGTATAGACGTCGGGTAAGGTTAGGCATCGGCTGGACATGAACGACATCTTACACGGGCGGCCGAGAGTTGCGCCGGAGCTTCAGCATACCTGTAGGACGCGTATCACGATCTGAAATTGTGACAAAGCGGCATGTATGCGCTCACTTGAATTCTTTGCGAAGCGCCTTCATCGCTTCTTTGGCGTGTGCCTCGCTGGATGAAGCGCGCTCGCAGACCTCCAGAACAAGGGACCAGTCCTCAGATGCTGTCGCTGTGAGATAGCCTGTGCATAGCTGAGTACACAAGCGAAGCGAGGACAGACAACGCACCTATCATTCTGGTGAGCTCCGCCTGTCCCTCTTCTTCTTTACGATCCCGCTCGCGATGCCGTCCCTTCTCTTTCTCGCGCTCCTTGTTCCGCTCACCTGTCCGCTCCCAAAAGCCCCTGCGCTCCTTCTTCTCCTCGCGGCTGCTCAGCTGGTCGCTGCCAAGTTGCTCGTCAGAGTGCTCTACGCGCAGTTGCGGGGCGTCAGGGTGGGGGTCTAGCGCTTTCAGGATGCCGACCGCGGCTGCGGCACCCTGGCTACTGGGCTGCTTCTTCGTAGGCCTCTGGGTGCCCTCACGATCGCTGCCCGCGGACTTGGGCGGAACCACTGGTGGGTGTCCGAACGGCGAGACCGCGCGCGGGGACTGGTGGCCGAGCAGGGGCGAGCTGCCTGTTTACGAGCGACTGTGAGCGGACAGCTGGGACGCGTTCGGGGGTCTGCAAACATGGGGCGCACCGTCATGAGAGGAGATGATGTCCCAATGGTCGTCAGATGAAACGCGAATCGAGCTGCGGTCGTGCTGGGAATGGTGGTGGCCAAAGAAGTGGCTGTTCTGGGGCAATGTTATTTGTGCGCTGAAGAGTGAAATCAGGATGGACGAGGGACGCACCTCCTGCTGGCCGACGACAGGGCTAGTGAGGTCCTTGACGCTTCCCGCCGCGGGCAGCTTGGCCGACTTTGGCTTGTCACGGCCAAAGAACTTCTTCATCAGCAACCAGAGACAAGTGGAGGGAGATACAGGGAAAGATAATCAGAGTTAAGAACTGGAAGATGTTGTCGCGGTGTAACCTTGTCATGCCCTGCCTCTTCCACCGCCCTCCTGCCAATCTGGGGAGGCGCCCGGCTCAGGCGGGGCAGTGTCCGGTCACGTGCCTCTGCGAAGTCCAGGGTTTGGGCGCCCGTCGCTGATTGGTTTCGCAGCTTGCTCTTGAACCTGAGTATCGTGCGCGCAGACCCGGACATTTTCGTTCATTTAATTCCGTCAGACAGACTGCACCGGTACAACCCCTCTCGCCTGAACCGCACCAAAGATAGTCTCTACTGCAGTCTCCAGCGCCGGCACCGTAAACTCCATCGTCGCGAGCACAGCGACGGGCCCGTCCAGATATACACCCAGCACGTCGTACGGTGCACACGTCGACACGAGCACAATCTTCTTGCTCTGCCCCGCTTTCGCAATAACCCTCTTTAGACACTCGATCTGCCACCGGCCGTTCTCGAAGCCGTTCCGCGTCGCAAACACGACCGCCGACGCGCGCTGCAGGTACTCCTGCGTGCTCGGCGAGACCGTCGTCTCGGACGAGTAGACCGCGTGGTGCACCGTCGTCCGTTTTGAGATTGCTGCGGCGAAGGCAGTGTACGACGGTCCTGCAGTGTTCCGCAGCTGGTCTGCGGCATCGCGCAGCAGGCCCTCGGCGTCGTCCACGGCAAGGTTGACGCTCTCCATGATCGGCGTGAACACCATGATCGGACCCTCGTTCTCCGGCAGTGGCAGTACCTTGTTCGGGTCGCGAATGAGGGTCATCGACTCTGTGTAGGCCTGCTTGCTCAGTGCGGTGTTCGCGTTCTTCAGGGTGCTCCAGGAACCGAGATCCATTGGCGGTGCCAGGACGTCGTCCCAGGAGCCCGCAAAAGTGTCCTTGAGCGCTGCGATACGCTTCCCGCTCTCCAGGAGCCGCTCGGTCGAGAGATTGCCCTTCGTGATCGCAGCGTACGTCCTCTCGACCGCCCCGCGCTGACGCTGCATGGTGTGGCAGATCATTACCACGTCTGCGCCCGCTTGAAGGGCCATCACCGCGCCGTCCTCTGATCCGTACTTTTCTGCGACCGCTTCCATCTCCAAGCAATCCGTTACGATGACGCCTTGGAAGCCCATCTGATCACGAAGCAGGTCGCTCGTGATCATTCGTGACAGCGAGCAAGGTGTATCTGCCCCAGTGATGAGAGGCAGTGCCATGTGTCCCGTCATGATAGTCGCGACGCCGTTGTCGATGAGAGACTGGAAGGGCACAAGCTCGGTTGCAGCAAGCGCTTGGCTAGTCTGCATGATGCGCGGAAGGCTGAGATGGGAGTCAATGTGTGTGTTTCCATGCCCAGGAAAGTGTTTGGCTGAAGGCGCAATTTTGTGTCGCGTAAGGCCTTTGCTGACAGCATTCACGAACCGGGAGACTTTCTGGGGGTCTGCAGCGGGTCAGCGTCGACCATTAGCATATGGCACATCACCAGTCTTACCGTCGCCAAAGGATCGTACGCCTGAAAGAAATCAACGTTTGACCAGTTGAGGGTAACAGGCATGCTTACCGATTACGGGATTCCGGGGATCTGAGTTGACGTCAGCGATAGGGCTGTACCTGTAAGCCTGTGAGCCAAGGTCTAATCTTCCAAGCAATGATGAATCTTCTTACACCCAGTTAATTCCAGCATTCCTCATCTCCATTGCAGAAGCACCCGTCACCTTGTCCGCAATGTCTATGGACCCTGTCGCGGCAAGAGCCATTGCGCCAGGGCTGACATGGTCAACACGAATACCTGCGGCTCCATAACACGTACATACAACTGAGTTCCACATTCGGGTGAGCTAAATGCGGATACTAGACCTATGTGCCGTTACACAGTAAGCATGAGCGAACTAGATATGGCGTGGCTAGTGGCATACCGTTCTCTTGATCAGTGCCAATCATCAGAGGGCGCGGATGCCCGGCGTCTTGGGCGAGCTTCTGCAGACCACGGATAAGAGAATGCAGCTGCATGATGTCTAATCTTCGTGACACAGGTTTCGAAGAGCAGCGTTGCTGCGAGACCTACCGCGGACGTTGCGCTTCATGATGATGACATTCCTGCGGTGTCTTGTGAGCGTACAAGTTGCTGGGTGCAGACGGGAACATACCCGACATGATACTCTTGAATGAGCTGCCTGATATCCTCCGTAATCCCATGCCCATGGAAGCCGAACACAAAGTGCTAAACAGCTCGAGCTTAGCCTAACACCCCTACAGAAACTGACAAGAGACGCACTTGCCCAACCTCGCGCTTCAGCTCTATGTTCAGCTCCGCCATCTCTTAGGTCTGTATGCGGGTTGGGGAGGCGGCTGTGATCCTGGTGGTAGCACAAAGAAATCTTGGGCCTTCGCGGTCTCGCAGGTGTTTTTGTCTGCGCCTCCTTTCGCACCGGCCCGGTCCCTATGATCTCCCTCTTCGGCACATCCCGTGATGGAATCAGCGTATTCACCGAAGTTGGAAGGTCCTCAAGTTCAGCGCTCGGGTACGCAACGGAGGGTTTTCCGCCTGCTCCAGGTCGACATCCGCGAAGACAGTCGTGAACAGATCAGGACTACGCCTGCCCTAGATAATGAGCCGGTACGTTACTCGGAGAGCCTCCGACACGAGCTGGTCTTCGTATGCTGCCCTGCCAGTGCCGCATATCTGACTTGCACTCAAGAACTTCATGCTACCAACGTCTTACACTACATCAGCCAATGTTTATGAGAGACTGATGCTCTACGTTTTGGTTAATACGCTATGACATTCCAACCGTGCAACCACTCATATTTCCAGCTCTGAATAAGCACCTCCTAACCGTGTCATCTCTGCGGTCGTCTCGCATAAGAGGGGAACGAATATGACCATATGCCCATCTTATAGTACCTACACAAGATCTCGGAGAACGAGATCCCCTCGGCGTAATTAGAAATACAACTCTGCGCTGGTATATCTACGAAAGAGACATGGGAAGACAGAAAGCGTCGTTCTGAGCCCTGCCATATTAACGTCGAAATCGGCAGCAGATTTTAGGAAGTTGTCCCTGTACGTGCTATTCAGACTAATCACTAGAACGCTCCCTGCCTCTTTTCTCGTTGTGACAGCACCGAAATCGACAAATATATAAGTAGTCTGCCATCCTGAATCTTGTCTGCTACACGTGGCAAATTCTAGGTGCTACACCTGTAGGAGACAAACGGGTAAGCACGTTCACGTGCACGAGACATTATTTCCTGTGCTAGCATACAATGTTCGTCCCCCCCTCCACGCATCCGCTTGCCACTCCCCAATGGACCACAGTCCCGCTATTTCACACGAATCGCCAGCCCAACTTGCCAGCTCAAAATTTCCGTGGAGACTACCGGATACGGCCCTCCACGCTCAGTGCGCTTGGCTGCCGGCGCAGGCTTGGCTTGCCCCAGGCATCCCAGACGCGCAGCTTGCCCTCGCCAGGCAGCGCGAGTAGCACTTTCTGCCCGCTTGGGCTTAACAAGCTTCCCGCGATGAGCGGTGTCCGCGGCTCTGCTGCTCTAGCTGTGCCGTTAGCTGCATCTGCGCCGTCCCCTCCGTCCGCCGTACCCGCCGAGGCCTGCGCGCCGTGACTCGTGCTGGGGTCGTCGCCGTCGACGCGGACGCTCGAGACCATCGCCAGGCTAGGGTATTGGTGCACGACGACGCTGTTGCCGTAGCGATGCCGCAGCGGCATGGCCGGCTCGTCTGCGTCCTCGGCGTCGAGGTGGTTCGGTGCCACCGTGCGCCCGGGGCCGTGGGTGCTGAGGAGCTCTTTACAGTGCGGGCTCCAATGGAGGCTCGTTACTGCTGCGCCGATGTCGATGCGGTCTGGTCTTTCCGTCCGCGGGCTGAAGGGCGTGGAAAACGAGCGACTGGAGAGCGAGGATATAGATGTCATAGACGAGGAGCGTGTGAGAGAGCCGCGGACGAGGGAAGTTGCCGAGTAGGCTGAGGCATAAGGGGTGGAGGAACGAAAAGACGAATGGACAGAGGAGTGAGAGGAGCTGGGCTGTGTCGAGGAGCCTGAGACGTTCCAGATGCGAATGATGCCTGCACCATCGTCGGTGCTATCACCAGAGGCGAGGACTTTAGGCTGCCAGGGACACCATGCAAGTGCCTGTGCACGATGTCAGATGTCAGTCGTGGAGATCCAAACCAGAAGACTCACCGTAATTGCACCGCCATGCATCATTTTCTTACGACGACCATTGTGTTCACCGACATCAAGGGGGAGCTGCATGCGATCGTCCCAGCAGAGGATAAGCCCCGAGTCGTCACCACTCGCAAGGAGCTTTCCTTCGCCGTTCCACGCGAGGCTAGTTATGGGCTTTTGGTGACGCATCGCACGGCGAGACTGCTCGCGCATCTTTGACGTGGTCGCAATACGTGTGTCGTAGTGGCGCACGGTGCCTTTCAGCCCGCCGACGGTGAGCACAGGTCCGTTCCACCGCATGCTGACGGCGCCCTTCGCCTGCCAGGCAAGAGTGCTCTTCCGCGCCGTGACATCCCAAAGCTGAATATAACCCTTGCTCGTCGCGGAGGCAAGGATATTGGGTTGGTCACGGCCACCGCACTCTAGAAGTCGAAGGTCGCCATGAGATTCCTTGAGCTTGCACAGCTGGGCGACGTCCTCGTTCAGGGACATGTTCTTCAGGTACACCCTGTTTCCACGCGAGAAGTACAGCACGTTGCTGACACCCCAACTTGCTGGCCATGATGGACCTTGGAAAGGGTTTTCCTCCGTTGGAGGATCCTGCTGAGTCGCCGTTGTCGAGACACTGAAGTCGATGGCAACCCGACCAGCTTTGAGGTGGTGCCGAGCTGAGGGCTCCGGGAAAACAGGCATGACTGGGGATGTCGCGCGACTGCTTACGGAGGCGGTTTCGCGCATCATAGCAAGGCCGCTCTCGAGGGCCTCGTCCTTGTCACTACGGCCGCGGCCGCGGCCGGAGAGCAGCGATAGATCCATACGCGTGGTGGTTGTCGGCCGTGTCGATTCACGTAACCGCCGGCTATACGTACGGCACATACGTGGGGACGCGGGCGTGGAGTTGGAGAACTAATCGGCTTCCGTCAGCTTTGGGGGAAGGGGATTACCGAAAAAAGGGGGGACCCGGAACTCACGAGTGAGACCTCACTTGAAAAAGACTCGTTAAGACTAGAGGTCCACGACAAGGCAGGGGTCAGACGAGGTCGTTTGAGGTCCACAATGTCGGTTTCAGCATCGGAGGACAGGCTCAGGGTGCGTTTCCGGACGAGCGTCGGCCGATTTGTCGCCAGAGGCCTGCGCATCACAGCAATCAGATCCAGCTGCAAGCATGTTGTTCAAAGTGTTTGGAATGCATACGAAGACGTCCCCTCATCGTTGTCGGCACTCGACTGCGACATTCAGAGGGAGATGCGCTGTGGTGAAGGGAGAGTGTGTGGTGTCAGTGTGAGAGTTGGGAGTCAAACGATTGCCGTCACCCGGCGGCCCACGCGGGACGATCTCAGATTGATCGCGTTGTTGTCGCGTTATTTGCGCATCCCCACACCATCCTCGATCCATTCGCGGTGCACTCAGATGCTGCTTTACCCATTTATACGCGTCTTAGTGCATTATCAGTCGAAAGAATACCCCCGGACGAAATTTTGTTGCAACTTGAACTCGCGAATTAAGTTTTGCCGAGTTTTTAGCGCGAAAGCGATTGCATTGCAAATTCACAGGCTTCCAGTGCCTTTACCACGTCTGCAATAAGTGCATACACGGCCTAAGAAGACTTGCCTCAAGGTCACTCTGCAGAAGTTCCTCAGTCATCCCGTTGCTCGACTTTCGGTTGGCAGGATCCCATCAGCGTCTGCTGACAGCTCAGTAGCCACCTGTACGCCGCTTTGGTCGATGGCAGCATAGTATATAAGCACTCCGAGCACGCCCTGAGCGTCACGCCCGAGGAAAGCTGCTAGTCGCCATTGCATTTGGTTGGTGCCGTGCCAGGAACGAACTAGACGCGCTTCCTTTTCTGGATAATTGTGTAAAGTTGAAACTCCGCTGATGATACCACCTCCCGTCCTGCACGGACTTTGAATGACTACCACCGCCAATAAGATTCGCTATCCCAAAATTCGTGTAGGACGCACGACATCGCGAGTCCGCGTCAGCCTGCTCACTTTGCCCAATTCAAGCTTCAAGGCTGGAGTCGCTATAAAGTAGCGACGAATTGATGTGTAATTTAAGCTGCAAAACCGAATATTCGCGCATAATCGTATCTGGAATCGTCCCAGAATCGTATAATCTGAGCACCTCTAATTAAAGCACATATACGATATATATACAGTCTATTATTTTTTGGCAGAGTGTGAAAGGCCTGGATGATCTATATTTCTAGCTTTCCGACCTTCTCAGGAGGGACCTGCTCCGAAAATTTGCTCTCCCGCCGCTTCAAATCATCCTCATTCCAGCCCTCCTTCGTATCTGCTGGCATGCGCACAAAGAGAATATTGATGATCAAGGCTAGGGCAGAGAACCCAATGCCCAGGAACAGCGCTCCACGATATCCCTTGACGGGGTTGCGTCCGCTATCATTGACGTGCGTCTCGACGGTACCCGCGAAGCCAAGGCCGGTTGACAGCCCGTACGTCTGCATAACACCGATGAGCGATCCCGCGACGCCCTGCTCAGCACGGCGCACGGAGTTGGCGGCAATGATTTGCGCTGCAGTGACGAGCAGGTCGGGGCCGGCGCCAGCGACAATGGCCGCAGGGAAGGCTTGCGCCCAGTATACCTGGTGCGTTGGCATCGTGGCAGCGATTATATTCGCAACGAGGATCGACGCGATTCCGAGGGCCATGATGTACTCGATACGAATGCGCGCGACGAGCAGCGCACCGACAACTGCCCCCACGCCCGAGACGAGGATGAATGGGGCGAGTGACGCGCCCGTTGCCGTCGGCGTATACCTGCGGATATTGTACTCCCAAGACATAAGGTACCACACGAAGATAGCGAAGCCCATGAGTGAGAGGAAGACGACACCGACGATGGCTCCAAACGACGGTCGGGTCCATATCCCGAGCGGAAGGATGGGATCTCGGGCGAAACGGGCTTCCCAGATGACAAAAGCGACGGCACATAGGATTGAAATAATGAGAAGGACGTATTCGTATATCCTCTCCCATCCGACGACGGTCGCTTGGCTGTCACGACGGTCAGAAATCTTGTCATGTGGGGACTGGCGAGGCACTTACTTCCAAATAAAGTTGAATAGGAAGAGCGCACAGACACCAAGTGCGCTACCAACAACATCGACCTCGTCATCAGGTGCAAGAGACTCGTCCCTTGGAGTGGAGATGAACGCTACCCCGAAGACAGCGACACCTAGTAAGGTCCTGGAATGTACCACATAAACAGCTTATCCACTCCCTGGCAACATACAATACTTACAGGAAGAAAAACATCCACTTCCATGGCGCGAACTGAATGATGAGCCCACAGAGGGCGCCACCTCCGGCGGCGCCAATGGGCGCGGCGGCTCCAAAGAGGCCAAGTGCGATGTTGCGCATCGCGCCAGGCGGGAAGGTGATGCAGAGAAGAGCAACGCAGTTCGGAACCATGATCCCGCCGCCAAGTCCTGCGCACCCACGGAGCACACAGAGCGAGACAAACGTCGGCGCAAAGCCGCTCCCGAGCGTGAAGGCGACCCAGATTATGGCGCCGATGAGAAGCATGTTGTAGTGACCGTAGATTGCGCCGAGCTGTCCGCCGGGAAGAATAAAGGCGCCCTGTGTAAGTCTTAGGGGAACATGTCAATGAGACTTTAGAGTGGCTAGAAGAGATATACATACGGATAAGAAGCTGCTATCCATGCAGTTGCTCCAGGAGAGGACACGCCTAGCCTTGGGGGGATGACCAGGCCAGCTTCGAGGCCGCCGCCGAATGCAATTGTCTGCGGTTGTTGCACCCACAACCGTTAGAAGACCCTTGCATAGAATCCAACAGATTCGACGCACCTGTACAAGCTGTGTCCCGACAAGGGACGCCATGATCAAGATCTTGCGCGGCATTGTCAGCTCATGGTGCAGCAGTGCACTTTCTTTCTCCTCGAGAGGCGATACCGTCTCGGCCGAGGACGGCGGGACGTCGATGACGAGGTCATCGGATCGAGATGTAGCAGGATATGAAGAAACAGAGTACATATGATTGAGAAGCGGGCAGCATTAATTCAGGGCTGCCTTTATGAGGGCCTTAGCTCGGGCGGCTGAGCAAGCCCGAAGTGGATGTGCCCGAGCGACTGGAAATCAGCGAGTACTACAAGGCTCGGAGTCTGTGTTTCAGACCCTGGGCCTCTAATTTATCCTTCATTTCAATTTGCGCGAGACATATCATCACGAAGGTTGCTTGCGAGGAGTCGAAGTGACATACGGTGTCGTGGTAGCTGCCGCCGCCGCCGCCGCCGCGGGAGTGACTGCTGCGAAGGGGCTATGTGGTTGGCTGCCTTTCGCGACCTTTTCATTCCACGTATTCTCAAATATAAGAATAAATTAAGCCCAACTTCAAGGTACCATAAATTTTTGTCCACTTACACCCTTATTACGGTATGGCCGCGAGCTATACCACGAAAGCGCCCGTTACGCCACAAGGCCAAGCTGGGCGTCATTTCGGGTACGAAACACTCTGCTCGCTCAGCTGAGCCTAGCTGTTTCATTTTCTGTAAGCCAATCCTAGGTGAGGTCGGGCAATGCTGACGCACTCACGGCTCAATCTGAGTTGATTCATAATACTGCAGACCGACCCAAATATTTTGTTCTTCCCAACGATTCCCCATAAGCCGAGCAAAACCTACCGACAGCGTTAGCATAGAACCGATGGTCTGTCAGTACATGTCAGTGGTCGTCAAAAAGTGTATTCCCGACCCGTACCTCTGCAAAGAGGAATTCGAATTACGAAAGCTCCCATTACAATTCTTTGAGCGCCCGGAACCGGAACTCACATAAGCCCTGGCGATGGGAAAGTCCAGGCGATCCGCGACCAAGTGAAACACTGACCACGAAGACACCAGTCACAAAAATAGCTGCCACGAGATCAGCTGCCACGAGCACGGTCGCCGAGAGAACGTTAATTGCGTAGCGTAGCGAAGCTGCCTCTTGTTCATCTAGCTATTTTCTGCCCACACTTATCCGACACAAAAACATTACACGCCGAGCCTGAGCCCCGGCACTCAGGTAGGTGTCTCCGCCATTTCTCCGTATCTTCACTGCGCGTCCAACATCGGTGCTTACGCCAGCGGCCGCGCGCGGTAGAGCAATACGTATGCACTCGAGTCCTCGCCACCACCTTCGAGCGTCGGGATCTTGTCCACGGGGAACACGCTCACTTTGTTGTCGTCAAACTTATACCAGTCTTCGTCATCCTCGTCGATGTCCTGCTTCAGCTCCGGCGAGGTCACAGTCGTCGTCGATGGTGCCGCTGCACCTGCTTCGCCCGCGCCTGAGGTTGCAGAGATATACGATACGGGGTGGAATGCGCGCTTCTTGACGTATGCCATGTAGTGCCCCGCGTCCGCCGCAGCGCCCTTGTGCGTCACAATCGCTGTTGCAACTAGGTCAACGTCTTTGCAAGAAATAGTGAGAGGAAGAACACACCGATGAGCTCGTACAGCCCATGTACGCTACACCCAATGTCGGCCTTAAGGTCGGGGTGGACGAGCGCCTCGAGCTCCTCACGCTCCTTCGCGCGGTACACGCCCTCGTCTTGCAACTCCACCTCTGGCTGTGCAGGAGCCTCGCCGCCCTCCGCAGGTGCACCTGCATCCGCATCGCGCATCTCGACGTCGCCATCCCGCGGGGCAGGCTGCCCGGTCTTGGTCCGCTTACGCACCTTACGCCGCTCCGCGCGCTCTTTCTCGAGCTCCTTCAGCCGGCGCGACAAGGGCAAGAGCTTCTCGCGCAGGCCATCCGTTGCGATGTCCGACCCGTCGTAATCGAGTGGGAACTTCACGCGGCGCTGCATACACACCGGTAGTTAGTATGGGAGGGAGGCGGGGAACCGAGGAAGGGAAGGTATACCATGATCTTCGTCTTCTTGTTGATATCTTGGCGCCATGCAAAGCGGACCATGTGTACCGTCAGGTAGGTCGGCAATCGACTCAGGCGTGACGTGCTCTTGTACACTGCCTCGCGATTAAGCGACGGTGAAGTCTTGGTCAACGTAGTATCCAGGGCCTGTAGATCATGTCAGTGCCGTCGACGAGGAAGTACTCTAAGAGCACATACATTCAAAATTCCATTGTGCATATAGTTGGTGTTGATTGTGATGTTACATTCGATTTTAAGTACGCGCTCGATCGTTATCGAGGGTTGCTCCTCTGGTGCTTCGTCAGACTTTAGACTACCCAAATGACACCGAGTGAGTTGAGCAAGGCCGAAAAACAAGAAAGGAGAATGGCTCGTTAGCATTCACGACATCGAAAAAAAAGAGGCGCACACTCTCGTGATCTCGCCAGTCATGAACTGCTCCACAAACTTGCGGTTTGCTGAGTCCGGGAGGCCAGGCACGTCCTTCAACGCATGGGTGAGTTGTGTCCAGCACTCCTCCGCATCTAAGTGCACCTCTCAGCTTCGCTCATACGATAGATAAAGCCAACAAACGCACCCTGCTGAGCATACATCGCGCCCCCGAGGCTCTTTTGCGCGCCAGAACCTTCACGGGCCAGCTCTCCAAATTGGGGAAACTGCTGCCGGAGAGCGTTCAGGAAGGGCGCAGGTGTGACGGCGTCAGTCGTACTACGCATTGAGCTGTACAGGCCCCGGAGCGCAGTGGGCAGACCTGGCGGCGCGCTCGCATCGAGAGCGGCCTGCAGCTCTGGGATCGCGCGCATCGATTGCACGGTTGCGTTCATGTAGCATGTGTTGCCGAGGTTGACAAGTCCAACGGGCAACGCGAGCTGTCTCATGGGGTCAGCACCAGAAAAAGGAGGGTACATTGTCACGTACTGCTTGTGCGAGTTCGCTGTCGTCCATGTCTGTTAATCGATGTCAGTTTTTCAAGGATGTGGATAGAATGAGCAAGCGTCAGGAGAGGTGAAGTAGAGGCCAAAGAGATCATGTCTAGCTCGAGAATGTCCGCGTATCCCCATCTATAGCGGCTTCAGTATTAGGATCCAACATGCGCTATACGCTGATCCAGGCTTCCGAAGGAATTGTTCAATTTTCTTGCTCGCGCGCGACATCGCGAGCCAGGTAGTGCATGCGGTATCGAGAACGACGAATCGTCTTTCCCAGCTGCTCAGTGCGCCTCCATCGTATCTGGTCGGGTACCGTGCGGAGATCACCAGACGCCGGAGCATCAGCCTGTCGAGGGCCATATGCGTGTGGGAGATGAGATAACGTATAACAAAGTCTCCGCCTCGGCCGTATATCGCTTTTGTAAGCAAGTAACGGTGTATCGCCCCGGGCCGTACGCATAGCTGAAGCGCGGCAGTAGTACGTTCCCGGTCAGCGGCGAGGCGACGGGAAGACCGAACAGCAGCAGATGGCAAGCTTCGTGGGATTTGCGGTGGCTCACAGGCATGAGGGGGGAGGGATGAAAACGAGGAGAGAAACGGGACGGTGCTGCATAATCTCGGATTTAGTCCCGAGGCGTGCGAAGAGGGACGACAGCGTACATGTTTCAACAAATACCGTCCCGGAACAAACGCAGCAGAAAGTCGTGCGTAGCCAAGATTGAGGCGAGGTAGTCATTTAGGACCTACTCGCATGGCGAGCTTTCTAAGGCGCCATGCATCTGTCCAGGACACGAGAGCCCTCCGCCTGACCTCCGCGACACTGCTAGTCTCTCGTTGAATAAGCAGCTCACCTTCAAGAAACACTGTCGGGGTCGAAGGCGGCTTGGGCAGTTCGCCCGCCGCACCAATGACCATGAATGTCTGGCCCTGCAACGGAATCTCCGTTCACCGGCGCGCGTGTACCAAAGCGATCGAAGTACATACCTCCTTGGGGGCGACTTTGCGCCAGTCAGTGTCATCCTACACCACTAATTAGTGGTACTGTCTCGTGACAGGAAGAGGAAGAGGGGCAGACCTTGAGCACGCCGCCCTTGAGCATGACTTTCATGCGCTCGGGAGGCACGCCCGTGCGCTGGTAGACGGCCTCCTTGAACGCGGCAGGTGGGAGGTCGGGGTCGAGCGGGACGTCATGGACCTTGCCTGCATGCTTGATCTTGACGGATATCGGCGCCATCGTTTCAGTCGGTGTGGAGAGAGAATAAAAACAGTGCAGAGAGAGAGTAAGGCGGCGCCCGACGCGTACGCGGGCGAAATGAGATGACGCGCGTCCACGGCATACGTAAGCTTATGGACGCCTACTGCGGCGAGGCCGGCCGGAGACGCCAGGGAAAGGGCGGGGCGGTGCCAGCGCGCTGTATGACGTCGGCCGGACGTGTCCACCACGCACGCACGTAGCGTACAGCTCAAAAGCTCCTCATGCGCCTCACAGCCCCTCACAAACTCAACCTCGACCTCAACTAATACCCATCCGGCCAACATGACGGTCTAGTACGTCTTCTCTCATCTATGTCTTCCGGAGGCATGACGTTGATTTGGCGTGCTGAAGCTACACGATAACCTTCCTGCTGCTCGCAGCAGAGATGGGGACTTTCTGCGTGCTTGTCGCACCCCTACCGTACGCCGTCCGCAAGCGGCTCCTCCGCTTCCTTAGCGAGAACCCGCTAATCGCCAAGCTTGCCTATGCGCTCAAGATCACCTTCATGTGCGTCATCACCGTCGAGTCTCGCGTCGTCACACGAGGCCCGGGAAGAGATACAGGAGTATTGATACTTACATTCCCAGATTCGTCGGCGTTCTGTTTGTGGATGCTCTTCAGCGCATGTGGCGTGTCACTGCCGAGGCCGACCTTGCCCGCAACCAGGGCGGCACCCTCCACGACGCCCGCGCAGAGACCGGTTTCGCTGCGCGCAAGTTCTAGTGCGTCAATTCCCGTGTCTAACTGGACACGCACTGATCGAACACGCTTTCATTGACAGCGCACAACGCAATACATACCTCACCGGCTTCTGTTTATTCCTCTCTCTCGTACTCACCCGCACGTTCTATATCCTCCTCGACCTCGTGCACACTCAGGAGGAGTACGCCAAGCTCAAGCAGGATGTGCGTTAATACTCTATCCTCTTTTTTCCTTTCCCCACCTATCCCCTCCTCTCTCCCTTCAGTCATCCCTGATTCTGTTTTCGCGTGACATACGCTGACGCTGCCTGCAGACCGCCAAGTCCTCGCGCGATACGATCGCGGCAGGCGACCAGAGCAAGCAGGTCGCTGAGCTCAAGCAGCGACTCGCTGCAGCGGAAAAGAAAGCTCGTGATTATGGTGAGCAATCTTCACGTTTCTCCTTTACCCGCGGACTCGATGCTCTCCTACGATGCATACTCGGGCAGTGTAATGGTGGGCTGTGCGCGTACGGAGCCATCACAACTCTAGATGGACGCTGCGGGGGACAAGTCTAGGCCTAGACTCGCCTTGTCGAATCCTGCTACGCGTTTTGGACAGCGCTCCGGGGACCTGTCATCTACTGACACGCATGTTGATGTCAATCACATATCCCGTCGAGCCCTTGGTTCATGCACCCCTCCTCTTCCCCCGTACCCTTCAACGTCGTCTCTCCTGGCCCTTGCCACTATTCATTTTGCTGAGCCGTGACTGACCACTCTCATTCGATGGTACACAATAGATATCCTGAAGAAGCAAGCGGAGCAGAATCAGGTTGAGTACGACCGGCTTGCGACGGAGTTCAACTCAAAGACGGGTGCCGTGAGCGACAAGCGCAAGGACTAAGCAGGATGAAGCCCGACCTGGTACTGTGCTATAAAGGTGATGGTGGGAGAAATTGGAGGATGAAGGGAAGGGAGAGCAGGAGAAACGCGAAGAATATGTGCCGGTGAAGGATGGGGTGAATTAAGGAGACCCGTAGTGCTCACTTCATGCGCGTGTTCTTACAGCTTACATTTTAGCAGTCATGAGTTTGTGCTTAATCCTTGCTTGCTCGGACCTTTGCGTGCGTGTCGATGTAAGATATACCAGAGTGCAAGTTTGGAAAACGTAAGTCCTTCGTGAAGTACACACGCGGTGTGAAAGGTTCCCCTCGGGTCGGTTGATGGTGTTTCGCCTCAACTGCAAGTACTCCCCCAGCGGCTCACACGACTCTTCACACGACCCATATGGCCGAGGTGGGACACTGCCCTACGCGTCGCTTCTTCGTGATGTGACACTTCGTGATGGAGCGTGACCCTTCGCGTTGGTTGTGGCTCGTCTGGTTTTCGCGCCTTCCACTCGATCCGCATCCACTGCCCGTCTTTCTTCTCATCTACGACCGCCCCCTCTCATCTCACTACGTCTTCTCGCGCACAGATCGACGATCTTACGGCCTTTTGAGACGGTCACAGTTTGCAAAAGTTAGCGGGGACGACTGCTTGGCACAGTAACGAACATAGCTAGAAAAGCTAGAGAGAAATGTCTATCGTCACCATCCGCGTAAGTCACCAGGTTGCTTCGTTTACACTTTCTAAGAACCTTCTCGCCACTCTCTTACAGAACGTCGAATTCCTAAACAACCCCGCCCGCTTCCTAGATGCGTACCGCTTCCGAGTGACGTTCGAGTGTATCGCGGAGCTGCCGGACGATGTCGAGTGGAAACTGATCTACGTTTCGTCGTCTGGGAACGAGGAGCTCGACCAGGAGCTCGACGAATGTCTCGTCGGTCCCGTGCCTGTCGGCGTGAACGCCTTCGAGTTTGCAGGTTCACCCCCGGACCCGACAAAGATCCCGTCGGAGGACGTCCTCGGCGTGTCCGCACTCATTCTCACGGGGTCGTACAAGGGCCAGGAGTTCGTCCGCGTTGGCTACTATCAGAACACGGAGTACGACAGCGAGGACCTCCGCGAAAACCCGCCGCCTCAGATCCTATTTGACCGCCTCATAAGGGATATCAACAACAAGCCCCGCGTGACGCGCTTCCAGATCAAGTGGTGCGTCCCCAGAGTGGTGTTCCTGCCTTGAACTGCCTCTGACGAGTTGTTTTTCAGGGACGTCTCCCCGCAAAACGCACAGACGAACGCCGTCGCGGCCGGTGCGGCGACTAGCGCGGCAGTTCCAAGCGCAAACGACATCGATATGGAAGACCCGAGTCCGAATGGCGCATGAGTGGGGTCTATGGCACCCGTAATTTTGTGCGCAGATGGCGAGGCGAGGCGTTAAGGGTTCAGGGAGGAGGTAGATGAAGAGAGAATGAGATGTGGAGTGTGGAGAGGACGCAGAGACCTGGCGACAGAGAATCCTAGAAGACAAACCACCGCTCCGCGCCAGCCATCGTCCACGTACAGTGCGAAGTCTCGTGCACCCACACCCTTATACCCCTGCGATGCCCTGCTTTTGCTGCTCCTACCGGCGTGCGTGCACCTGTCGGGAACATTCAATGCACCTATTGGTGTCCCCAAGGGGACCAGAACACTGCACTGCTCATACCATTTCTAACACACCATGCTTTGCAATGATATACCCTAATCATCATTAAAGGTGTGCCATCTGCCACAAGCCTGCATGCTCCTCCCATATTTTGGTTCGCAGGTACGTCCCCAGCCCCAGATTCTCCATACTCCTCTGCGGAAATGCCCTGAATCAGCACCGTTTCTGCCCGCCATGTAACGGGCTACCACAGCCTGTTCTTCCTGGTACCAAAGTAGCTCCAGCTTGAACATGGTGTGCGCACATCTATGGTACATGCTACTCGAGAACCGTGCATAACGTCCCTCGGGAGTGACAAACGTGCCCCAATTTGAACGCGTTTGGTGTGATGCGGCCGACATCGCAACGTCGCACGCTGAGTAAACAGCTTGCTGGAACCGCTATGTTCGAGGTGTGTCGTGGGCATGTTGCAAGCCGTTCAGGGGAGTGTACAGGCTTCAGGGGAGGAATCCCGAGCCAAGACACCTACCGTACCCCAGACCGTGACAAAATTCAACAGCGGGCATGTGGCTACATTTGCTCCTCTCGGAGTGCATTGCGTAGAGCCCTTTGAGCCCATTGATATTCGTCAGTAATGCGACCTTAAAATACACCAATCCACGTCGAAGTTGCAAGTCCAATTGATCTGGACATTGAGAAACGATAGATGTTATGCACAGATGCGTCGTACATTCAAACTGGATCAGTCCCAGAGACATGAGTACCTGAACGTATGGCCCTCAGTCGTTGTACGCCCGTCCCTTGCCCTTATCAACCTTGGGTGATGGCCCAGCTGTCTTCTTTTTCTTCCTCCTGCCCACTACTGGCTCGTCGCCGTCGCCGTCGCCGTTTTCTGAGCCATGACGTCGTTTGCCGGGCCGCGTACTGGGCTCAACGGGGCTATCACCAGCCCTCATTACCGACACGCCCTCGCTCTCATGATCGCCAGTGCCGGGCGCCATCAACACACTTGTACCCTCGTCCAATGGACGCACCGTGGTGGACCTGTCGTCTCGAGAAACGCTTGACAGCCCTGCTCTCGGGCTAGATGGCGGCGACGGCATCAGTAGCTCCACATTCGACCCATCGCGACGCACGCCCGATAAGCCTGTCCTGGGTGGCGTGGAATTAGGCGTGGGCACTCTGAGCGCGTCCCACGACGCCTGCGACGCGATGCTCGACGCGCTCGGGAGCTCGGGTTCGGGTAATGGCGAGAGATGTGCCGGCTCCCCTGCATAAGGCACGCTCACATCGTAGCGCGTCTGGCGTGGAGCGGCGGCGCGCCAGATCTGCCCCAGCAGCGGCAACACGTCGTCGTAGCGCGGCATACAGAAGCCCGGGCGCCGCTCAAGGATCAGGGTGATTGCACAGAACATCTCGAGCATGTCGGGCTCGAGCATCGTGCGGACGGCGACATCATGCCGCCGTTGTCGTTCTTCGTCGATCGGTAGAGAGGGCGGTGGTGGTACCCATGGCTGTGGGGGCTGCGCGCATGGAGGACAGCTGATTTCCGAGGAGCGGATGCTGGCTCCGTCGTCTTCTGAAGTCCACCAGTTGCCGTTCTCGCCGTCCGCAGCACTAGCGTCCTCCTTAGCTTCATCATCCTGATCTTCTGCTTCCGGGCTTCCCCGCGTCGAGTTGCGCGTGCTCTTCCTGAAGTCACTACCCGGCAGCAGCACACACCCCGCCAGAGGCTCCGAGAGGGGGCCCAATAAGCCAACCTCGGTGCCAGACCTCGACAGGCTTTTCTGTGATGGCTCCAGTCGAGGCGTCGAGCCTCTTGATGCCGGCGCTGGTGGACCGTGAAGATTTGGCTCCTCTGCAGCCGGGTGCCGATCTGAATCCTGGAAGTCAGCTATGGTCGCCATATGGACCATGACGCGGCGCAGCACAGCATTTGTCGGCATGTCACGTCCAAGCCCCATGTTCGGTAGCCTGGCAATGAGCAGTTTCGATGACTGAGCCAGATCATCCATTTCCGGGAAGAAGCGTAGTGGTTGGGGGCGACCGAGCTTCACGGGGCTCGTCCTTGCGCTCTTCGTCGGGCTCGATCCGGCAGCGCTTGGGCGCGTGGCTTCGGTCTCGTTGTCGAGGCTCGACCACGACTCGATGGAATCGGTCTGGCTAGCCTCCCGTAGGGTTGCTGTATGCCGCTCTGTGACAGTCGAAGGTCCTGCATGTTGTGATGCGACTGATACGAGTGAAATGGTGGGCGAGGCGAACCCTTGCGCGGCCGATGATGGTAAAGATGGCTTTGCCGCAGCTGGAGGTGAATCGTTTCGCCTCATGAATGACGCAGGCCGCGTCGAGGAACGAGCTACTGGCTGGCTAGATATGGCATCCTACCACCTGTCTTAGAATAACAACAGAAAACGTTCTTCTAACGCTACAAATATGCGTCAGTATCTTGGGAGCGTAGCGAAATACCAGAGTTACTTACGACTTACGACTTGCCTGAGAACGGTGCAGTGGCGCAATCCAGCCAGCGCCTCAACGAGCTCCATTTTGTTCTTGTTCTTGACTTTCTTGCTTCGAGGGTCAACATACGAGACAGTTATGCCATGACTCTATGAGGCAGAGGGATAGGAAAATGAGCGATGGGACCCATATACGAGTGAGACAATGCAAGACCCAGTGAAAGAGACTGCGAACGCACCTCGGCGAGTTCGCGCAGGGGTCCAGCGAGGGAGGTTTGCAGAACCTTGAGTTCCGCCGCAGTGTACACTGGTGTGTCTTCCATGTCGAGAGTGCAAATGTCGTGGGGAACGTGGGTGACGCGGAGAAACCGACGATTAGGACAAGGTGTATGAAACGTGGTTAGGTCGACTGATGAAGATGCATCGTATGTTTGGCCCGCCAAAGCGAATCCATCATTCCGAGTCCTTTTCAGGACGAAAAGAGATGAAAAGCAGTTCTTTCAACTTGCGAGTCGATAAGATGGTTTCGGAACCAGGACCAATGCGGTGCGAGTGGCAGGCCTGCCTTGTGCACGTACATCATGGAGCCTTGCAGGTAGGGCGTTCTGTGATGCAAATGAAAGTAATCTCGGAGCCATTTACTGCATCAGCGCTCCTTTATTCCTGGCCAAAGATGAAGGAGAACATGGGCGGACCAGGCAAGATCGGGAGAGGAGACGCCCATAACATAAGCGCCGAGTTGGCACCCGAGCTGTGTACTACAGAACGTACTTTGGCGTAGTCGACTTCAATTCATCCGTTCTCCGGTACACACCTCGGCGCATCAAGTGATGCTCAGGTTGGATTCCCGCGATACTCCATAGTGGAGTAAAGCACAGCAGTAATTCAGGCAGACTCATGACTTTGCGACTGGCAGGTATTATATATATGCACAGAAGCAGCTAATGATAAATAAGGCATGACATAGAGCGTCAAAAAGAGTGAGATACAAGAGAACCACAGGTCGAAAGAATAGTCAAACAGGTATAAGTAGCTCGCAAAGTTCGACAGCCCATCATTTCCTTGTACTCCTCTTGCATACCAAATGAGGTTCTTCTCACCTTCGGCAGTGCTGCTTGGTCTTCATCTAACTCTTCTTCATTAGCGCGCTTCCTAAGTTGCGTACCTCCCCGAGAAGGTGCAACAGAGCTACGGTACGGTGGTGCCCAGGGATAAACCATCGCCGCGGTCATCGGCTGTGTCGGCTGATACCCGCGCCGCAGCATCATCTTCATGCCGCATCGGAACGCCCGTCTGCATTCCGTTTTGTCTCACGAGAGAAATTTGGAACTTTTTTGTTACAAAAAATATGCGAAAACAGCCTGAAAAAATAAGTAAGAAAATGCCATATTTTTCCTCCCGGTATCTGGCGGCCCGGCGACTCGGCAACCCGGCAGCCGAGCCGATTGTCCGCCAGGCCATTGTCAAAGCGCCCGTGGCTGCGGCACTCGGCGAACAATCGGCTCAGCTGTCGGGTTGCCGAGTCGCCGGGCCGCCGGATACCGGGAGGAAAAATATGGCATTTTCTTACTTATTTTTTCAGGCTGTTTTCGCATATTTTTTGCGACCAAAAAGTTCCAAATTTCTCTCGTGTCTGTTACGGCGAGCTGCGCTGAGCGTTGGCCTTGATGACCGAGTCTACTACGCCATGATGCTCTGTCTGCGCCGCAGGGCTGGTTTTCTAGCAAGCGCAAGATCATGCAGAGAAGCGGCAGGGCCATGTGTAGGCGCTGCTACAAGCGTCGTCGCCCACGCCCGCGCCTTTGCCAACCTTGGAGCGCATGTCTTGTCGCGAGATTCGTGTCCAGCGTCGTGATTGTTGGCTCACACTTGGCTCACATGCTGTTGTCCGCATATGAGTCATTCTGCTGGGTAGTCTCAATGTCAGCGGGCTCGATCTTTATGTATGATGCATGACGCATGTGCCCCATCGCCGCTAGTCGGATTCCTGCGCACGTCAGAGGGTCGCTAATGTTATGATGGGCATGGTGGCGTGGGATATCATTTCCTTTTTCGTCTCTGACTCTAGTTTAGTAGTACTGCCTTCGTCGACTCATAGAGCGCAGCTTCACTGACTCACCCGCAGTCCCTTTGACTAGTAGACTAGTCCTTAGGTAAGGCTGAGCAGTAGTATAAATACCCCGCGCATGTACAGTAGCACCCCAGCTTTCAGCTCTTTCGTAAATTCACGTTTCTTTATTCTGCTCTAACCTCATCTGCGGATAAAGCGATCAGACAAGCTTCAGGCTTGCAAAGAAACCTCTGTCATAACATTAGCTGAAAGCTTCTCAACAAGGCGGACCTAAGACAGGTCTACGCCACGAAGAATAGTCAAGACGACTACTCCACAAGCAACTGAGGTGAACGACTGCGCCACAGCAGCACACAGACATAACTTTAGGCCTGACAATAGGCACGACTACCATCGATACGACGAAGGACATTGGAGACGTTGTTTTCAACAACTCTGCCCCAACCGATACTACGCATATCAAGGAACAGTACGAGTACCACAAGGACTCGTCCTCTGCGACCCAGCACAAGAAGAATTCATTCGAGAAAGGGGCAGGCTTAACGAAGAAGCCAGGCTTAGAGAAGAACAAGCCCAACAAGCAACTCAACTATTCGCTAGCGTACCACCATCCAGACCACAGACACCACACCCATACGATCAATCTCGCAGACATAGCCGAGCACCCAGCAGGGCAGAAACCTCTACCTCTATTGAAGTAGACGACGAAACACCCGAAGTACAAGGATCACTTCAGGTACCAGAAATCAGACTCAAACCATTCGATATCCCCTTCCCGGATCTCGACGTACCCATCCCACCTGAACGACAGGAAGAAATATACGAAGTTACCAGACAACTTCAGACGCCCTCTACAATGGCAGACACAAATACTCTCATGCGAGAAATGATTGAGGCACTTCAGAAAGCAAATGAACATGCCTCTACCCCAAAGCCCCAGAAGTTCGATGGCACGCAACAAATCCAGGACTTCCTGAAAGATTGCGACATCTACTTCAAAGGCAAAGACACGACCAAGGATGCAAAGAAAATTCTCTTTGTACTCAACAATACCGAGAAGAAGCCACACGACTGGTGTCGCACCAAGTTTGACAAATACGAAGCTAGCACAACTTGGCCCACATAGACCAAATTCAAGGAAGACTTTGCCAAAGCCTTTCAAAAGGTGGATAGCGAAGTCGACGCCATCGTAAAACTCGACAGAATAATGCAGTCAGACTTCGATTCAGTCAATGACTACAACGTCGAATTTAACCGACTCGTCAAAGAAGCCAAGTACAACAACCTGAGCACAGACACCTACCTCCAACGTACCTATACAGGAGGACTCAAATCTGTCCTTGCAAAGACTCTCATCCAACGAGAAAAGAAGCCAACTACACTCCAAGGATGGCAAGAAGAAGCACTCAAGCTGGACAACGCAGAAATAGAATGGGACAAACTCAGACGAGGAAGACAAAGGGGAAGGATCGACAAGACTACCTCTCACTCCGGAGGAAATGGAGGAGGAGGAAGAACTTAGGAACGCGACCCCGATGCCATGGACATCGACGCCGTCTCCCGAGACCAAACACGCCGAGAAGGACGATGCTTCAATTGCGAAGGCAAAGGACATATTGCCAGAAATTGTCCTTCACCCAAGAAACCCCAGCAACGCGACCAGCAAGGAAGATACCAACCCAATCGCTCGCAACAAGGCAACCGTCCTCAGACAAACCAAAGATCAGAACAATGGAATAAAGGAAATTCCACCAATGTCTGCACTACAACGGTCAGAGAGGAACCTAACCTCATTGACCTCGACAACGAACCTAGAGATTTGGTCAAAGAAGTAACCAAACTCTCTCAAGAAGATGCTAAGGATCTCTTCGCCCGTTATCTCGAAGCTAATCCGGATTTTCATGTCTGAGGGTTGCCCCAACGTCAACACCTCTTAGAATATCAATTTCCTCTGTATTAATTGCCGATATGCAATCAAAATCGATGCGTATTCCCGTCCAAATCAGAGCAAAAGAAACCGTTGGAAAAGTTCTTGCACTAGTCGACTCAGGAGCACAAGGCAAATTCATCAATCGAAGAACAGTCCGGGAGTTAGGACTACAAGAGAAACCTTTGAAAAGACCAATCAAAGTATTCAATGTCGACGGAACCCCAAACGAATTGGGGTTCATTCGCAACGAAGTCGAAATCGACATGAACGTGGGAAACCAACCTACCAAAGAAAGGTTGTTGGTTACCCAATTAGGCAAACAAGACATCATCCTCGGCATGGACTGGTTACAAGAAAGAAACCCATCCATCAA